CAGTCCTTCCACATGCTTCAAACTCAGAACTGAGCCAGTTCCTAGAGACCTCCTCATAATCAAAGAAGAAACAGGCTCATGAAAACAATAACACCCACGAGGAATGTCCTCAGAACATTCCACTATATGAGACCGAAAGAGCAGCATTTGTACAAAGGCAAAACTGAGAAGATAAGAAGGGCAGGAAAACTGGGCAAATGGAAGTGGGGCACCCATGGTAGAAGTGGGGAGAGTGCTGACACACTGAGCAGACATCCAAAGTCAGAAAACAATCTATATATGAATTACTGAGTGGGAAACTAGTTTGCTCTGTAACCCTTCACCTAAGCCACAATACAATGTTCAAAATAAAAGAAATAAAAAGATAAGCCATAAACTGGGAGAAAAAGTATCTGATCCAGGACTTGATTCCAGAATACAGTAAGAACATTGAAAACTCAGTAATAAGAAAACAAACAGCTGAATTTAAAGGAGGGAGCAAGAAAGCAAACAACCCGTTTAAATACAAGGGGTGTTGGAGAAACACATCACCACCGTCAATGACAAATAAAAACCCACTGCCATCGAGTCAGTTCTGACTCACAGCCACCCTGTAAGACAGAGCAGAACTGCCCTATAGTGCTTCCAAGGCTATCCATCTTTACAGAAGCAGACTGCCTCATCTTCCTCCCACAGAGTGGCTGGTGGATTTGAACCGCAGACCTCTGGTTAGCAGCCAAATGACCAATAAGGACTTGAAAAGATAGTCAGTATATCAATCTCTAGGGATATGCCCATTAAAACTAGAGGGATAAATCATTAGATACCTCTTAGAATGGCTAAAAAACAAATACAAGTAAAACTCTGATGACCTCAAGTGCTAGCAAAGATGTGAAACAACCAGAACTCAGGAATTGCCAGTCGGTTAATCTGAAAACAGTTTGGGAGTTTCCTATAAAGTTTAATTTAATTACCACGCAAGCCAGCAACACTTCTCCTGGGTATTTACCCAGGGAAATAAAAGCCTATCTTCACCAAAACCTCTATATAGTGGCTTTATTGATACTCATCTAAAACCAGACACAACCCCAATGTCCTTAAACTGGACATTCAATAAAGCAACTGCAGTACATCCACATAATGGGACACTCCTGACAACAAAGCAACAAATGCTCGGAGGAAGAACAGACGCTGTCAGCCCCAGAGTCCTAACCAGAAAGAGCTAGCGAAGTGTGACCATCCAATTCCCTTAATGTTATGGATTAAACTGAGTCCCCAAAGCACATGCTGTAAATCCTCACCTCCAAGCTTGTGGGAAGGGGCTCCTGTGGGGCAGCAGTTAAAGGCATTTAGCAGCTAAGCAAAAGGTCAATGATTTGAACCCGTACCAGCCACTCCAAAGAGGAAAGATGAGGCAGTCTGCTTCCTTAAAGATTTACAGCCATGGAAACCCAGTGGGGGTCACTATGAGTTGGAATTCACTGGATGGCACAGAGTTTGCTTTTGTGAGTTTATGCCTATGGTTATAGTCCCATGTTACTGACGTATTTGTTGTTGTTTTTGCCATCGAGTTGGCCCCGACTCATAGCGACCCCTCCTTGGGTTTCCGAGGCAGCATCACTACGGAAGTAGGATTGCCCAACCTTCCTTCCGAGGAGTGGCTGGTGGGTTTGAACTGCCAGCCTTCTGGTGAGCAGTCAAGTGCCTTAGGCATATTAATGAGGCAGAATTAGTGTAGGGTGTGTCTCCAGCCAATCTCTTTTGAAAAGTAAGAGATTAAACCTAAACCAGCAAGGAGGGAAGGGGGAAGGGAGATACCAAGGACATGATCCCCCAGGAGCAGACGCTCGGAAGAGAAAAGGACCTTCCTTCTGAGCTGATGGAGAGAGCTTTCATATAGATTACACCTCAACATAAAGAATACAAAAATCCTCACAACTGGACCACTAAGCAACATCATAATAAACGGAGAAAAGATTGAAGTTGTCAGGGATTTCATTTTATTTGGCTCAACATCCATGGACGCAGCAGTCAAAAAATCTGAAGTTGTATTGCATGGGGCAGATCTGCTGCAAAAGACTTCTTTGATGTGTTAAGGAGCAAAGATATCACTTTGAAGACTAAGGGGTACCTTAACCCAAGCCTCGGTAATCGCCTCACATGCACGTGAAAGCTGGACAATGAGTAAAGAAAACTGAAGAAAACTTGATGCCTTCGAATTGTGGTGTTGGTGAAGAATACAGAAAATACCAGAGACTGTTAGAAGAACGAATACATCTGTCCTGGAAGTGGAGCTGGAATGCTCCTTAGAAGCAAGAATGGCCAGACTTGGTCTCACCTACTTTAATCATGTTGTACGAAGAGACCAGTCCCTGGAAAAGGATATCGTGCTTAGTAAAGAGGAGGGTCAGCGAAAAAGGAAAAGACCCTCAACAAGATGGACTGACTCAGTAGTTGCCATGGTGGACTCAAGGATAGAGGGATTGTGAGGATGGCACATGACTGGGCAGTGTTTCATTCTATTGTACACGGGATTGCTATTGATCAGAGACGACTCAATGGCACCTAACAACAGAGCTAGTGTCCTGAATCTGGACTTCTAGCCAACTAAACTGGGAGAAAGTAAATTTGTTTGTTAAAGTATTCACTTGTGGTATTAAAGAAGCCCTAGTAGTGAAGTGGATAAGGCATCTGGTTACTAACCAGAAGGGTTGTTGTTGTTGTTGTTGTTGTTATGTGCCGTCGAGTCATACCAGACTCATAGCGACCCCTCCTTGGGTTTCCGAGGCAGTATCACTACGGAAGTAGGATTGCCCAACCTTCCTTCCGAGGAGTGGCTGGTGGGTTTGAACCGCCAGCCATCTGGTTAGCAGGCAAGTGTCTTAGCCACTATGCTACCAGAGCTCCCAGAAGGTGTAGTGGGTTCAAACCCACCAGCTGCTCAACAGGAGGAAGACGGGGCGATCTACTTCCCTAAGATTTACAGCCTTGGAAACCCAATGGGGGTCACCATGAGTCAAAATCGACTTGACGGCAGTGAGTTTGTTTTGTGTGTGGGTTTGTGTATTTATGTTATAGCAGCACTAGAGAACTAAGACACCTTCCTACAGGTGCCCTGAAGAACAGGCAACACCCTTTCCTCAGAGGACAGCACTGCTCAAGTCTTCCACACAAGCACTCTGGACAAATGGAAGAGAAAGGAATTTGCAAGTAGGATCGGGCAGCCCCGTACAACAAAGGAAAGGTCTACCAGACCTCAGTCTGATCACACTTGGAAAACGCAATTTATTTTCTTGAGTTTATGAGGGTTCCCCAGAAGTCATTTTAAGGGACTGTTCCCTGAACCTTCAAACCTGGAACTGAACCCACTCCCGCGGATCCTCTTTCAGCCAAACAACAGATAAGCATCCTAAGTGAACAGTAACACCCAAGAGGAATGTACTCCTCAGGACAATCAACCAAATGAGACCAAAAGAGCAGCATTTGCCCAAAAACAAAGCTCAGAATGCAGGAAGGGGCAGGAAAGAAGGACAAGTCGAAATGGGAATCCAGGGGGGAAGCGGGAGGAGTGCCGTCACATTGAGGGGACTGCAAGGAATGAATTAAAATGTGTGCAAATCATTGAATGGAAAACTGATTTGCTCTGTAAACTTTCACCCAAAGCACAACTGAAAAACAAAAGACCTGATCATTACAAAAGAGAGACACTTCCTCCTAAGAGCTAAAAACACCTGCTAATAATACTCTGGCCACCTGCAAATTACCACCTCTTCACAGCATTCAGATTTCTTATTTTTTCAGGGCTCCCTGCCCAATGAGTACACTTGGTAAGAAGGTCAATCTGTGTGCCTGTCATAAACCCAAGGGTCTCTGCAAGCTTCTTCCTCCAGCTCCTTCTGCTTACTATAGCGGAACAGCTAAGGAGGAAATCCATGCATTACATTCAGCCAACTGTACCTTCTCTCGAGGGATTTTCCTTTTCTCTGGATAATGTGTCACCTTTTCTAAGGAAGTCAGGGACTATGTTTTACCACATCCTCTTCCTCTATGACACCACGTTAGAGTGTGACAATGGAAAACACACATGTGAAATTTGCAAAGTGAAAGAAGACAGGCCGATATTCCCAAGGCAGTTACAGATAGATGAGTAAGCAAATGTGAGGTTCAAAGTACCTTTCGGATAGGTCTTTTCTTCTAAGGTGCAACTATTGGTCTCACTCCATCCAGAGAAAAGGAGAGAGAAGAAGATCAAAGACACATGGAAAGAATTAGTCCAAAGGACTAATGGACCACACAAACCTCAACCTCCATGACCCTGACGCCTTAAGAACTAGAGAGTGCCCAGCTACCGCTTCCAACAACTCCGAAAGGGATTACATTAGAAAGTCCTACATAGAGTAGGAGAAAAATGTGGAACAAAACTCAATCATTTAAAAAAAAAAAAAAAAAGCCCAGGCTTCCTGGTCAAACAGAGCCTGGTGGAATCCCTGAGACTAAGGCCTTCCTTAGTCACCCTTCAGACCTAACCTCTGTGGCTCAATTTTCAGCCAAACAACAGATAGGTCTACAAGGTGAACAATCACGTTAGGGAGGTACACACTCAGTCAACCGTTCGAGATCAGAAGGGCAGCATTTGCCCAAGGACAAAGTTCAGAAAGCAAGCAGGGTTAGGAAAAGAGGAGGAATGGAAACAAGAAACATAGGGAGGAAGTGGGATGACTGATGCTACGTTGAGGGGGTTGCAGTCAATGATATGAAACCAAATGCACATGGATTATTGAACGGAAAACTGATTTGCTCTGTAAACCTTCACCCAAATCCCAATAAAAAGTTAAATAAATAAATAAAAGCCCTTTTTGCTTAAGTTGGGTTTGTTACTTGCAAACAAGGAACCTTAACTGATAAAACAAATTGTGCACACTTTGGGAACATCTAAACTGTGTAGGTAGAGCGTCTATTACGTGAATAAAAGAAAAAGTTGCCTTAGGTATAACTCTAGACTTGCTTATCACGTCCTGTACCTGTGGCCCAGTAGTAAATATCCCAGTCGTTACTGGGCTCGTTAATCAGGCGGTCATAGAGGTTCAGCTGCTTCTCTGTCATGCAGTGCAGATGCTCTTTAGCAAAGAGGCTAAAAGGGAGGAATAAAGAGAAAGGGGTTAAAAAGGCTGTCTGCAGTCAAAGGGGAAGGACGCCAGGCCTGTTTCCTGTTTCCTTACCCGAGGAGAATGCAATTCTCCAACATCCCTCTCTTTCTGCTCTCATACAGCAGGCGGGCTCTTTTGGTTTCTATAGACTCATCAGTTCGCTCCTGCCATGGGGGCAAAGGGATTTCAATCAAGTCTTTTTGGGAATCTGCTGGGCTGTCACCTCTGTAAAAGCGTCTGAGTGATGTCGCACTGAGGTAAGGAGATGTTAGGCTGTGTCTTTGCAGAGCAAGCACCTGAAACAAACCATAAATATGGACATCGTAACAAGGACTACCACCACCGCTATTCACTATTTACTAGATGTACTGCCTAAGGCATTTGACTGCTAACCAAAAGGCTGCAGTTCAAATCCACCAGCCACCCCTCAGAAGGAAAGTTGGGCAATCTACTTCCGTAGTGATACTGCCTAGGAAACCTAAGGAGGGGGTCGCTATGAGTCGACTCGACTGCACTGCAGTGAGTTTGGTTTTTAAGTGCATTCCAAACCCATTGCCATCTAGTCAGTGCCGGAGCCCTGGTGGCACAGTCGTTAAGCACTCAGATGCTAATTGTAATGTCTTGGGCTGGAACCCACCAGCCTCTCTGCAGGAGAAGGATGAGGCAGTCTGTGCGGGAAATGTAATGCTCTGTCCCATAAGGTCACTATGAGTTGGAATCCACTGGATCACGATGGGTTTTTGGTCTTATGGTTTGAATTCCAGTCACCTGCCTGTGTTAAACCCTGAAGACAAAAAGATTCAAAGGTGGCACTGTCCTTAATGCTCCAAAAGCTCCTAACCTAGAGACGGGGACAAAACTATCAAGACACAATGTGAAACCCTAATAGGCATTAGAGAAGACTTAACCGCCGAAAGGCGGTCGGCAACTCAGCTTGGGAAGAAAATGACGTCTGAACCGGGTTTCGCACGGTATTACGGCCCAGATACACAGTGGACTCCTGCGGACTGAAGGGCAGGATCGGCCTTCCCTTGGGTGGGCCCTTGATCTGGCTACAGGGCTGCTGGGCCCTCCCTGAGGTCGCCGTGTTCGCGGATAAAGCCACCTCTGCCGCCCGCCCGGAACCCGAGGCCATCTTGTCTTCTCACCCGCGCCAGAGCCGGGAACACGGTGGTCACTGCCATCTGTCTCCTGACCCGCACCCGAAGCCTGAGGCCGGATCACTTCCAAAAAGCACCCCTTCGACTTCCCCGCGGAGCCTAAGCCGGAAGATGCATCCCTGCGTATGGCGGAAGTGGCGGTGCGTGTGACGCCAGCGGGGTGTGTGGAGGGGGGGGGGGCGGGACCTGAGGCCGAGAGCGGTTCGCGCGCTTCGGGCCTAGTCGGGACTCGCCGCCGCCGCCGCCATATTCCCGGTAACGGGGGCGCGCGGCCGGGGGCCTGCTGGGCCGGAAGAAGGGTCCGGGCTGACGCCGAGGCGGGGTGGGGGTCGGTTGAGCCTGGGGCGGGCGGAGGGAGTCGCGGGCTGTGTGGGAGGAGGCCGCAGGCGCCGGGCAGTCTCTATAGGGAGGGAGTGGTGCGGGCCTAGCCAGAGGGCGAGGACGGGCCGGGATGGAGAGCCAAGGAGGCGGGAGACGGTGCGAATCCAGGCGGCCTCCCGGGCCCGCAGGGGCTCCGGTCAGGGCCGCCTCAGGGCCTAGGCAGGTGCGGCGGGCTGGAGCTGAGGGCTTCGTCGCGGCCGTTCTTCGCAGCGCTGCCCAGGGGCCTCCAAGGAGCCGAGGCCTGGACTTTCCCGTGGCGCCACCGGGTGCTGCGGCGCCGGCGCGGCGCACCCCGGGTCGGGCCCGAGGGTGATGGGCAGCTGGCCCCGCGAGCCTCGGCGGCCTGAGAGAACGGGGGGCGGTGCGAGGCCGGGGGCGGGGCGGGTGGGGCCGAGCCCGGGCTGCCGGGATGCTGCGTCTCTGGAGACGGGAGGTTGGCAACCCTGGCCCTCCTCCCGGCCCAGGACCCTCATGCCTTCTAACTTGTGCCCTTTTCTGGATACCGCAGTGGCACCTTTCTTTCTTCTTCTATTCTCCGGGCTCAAGCTCTCCCTTCCGGAGCCATGTCAGAAGGGGTGGACTTGATTGATATATACGCGGACGAGGAGTTCAACCAGGTGAGGGGCCGTCGAGAACTTTGTGATTTTCCTGCATCGTCTACGGAATCGTGTCCAGCTTCGGAATCAGTTCCAGCTGTGCCAGTCCTTGGGGACTTGCTAGGCCTGAACATTCCTTTATCTGGTGTTGGAGAAAAGTTACTAAAAAAACGAAATCCACTCCCAACCCAGCAAACTTCTCCAGGATGGACACTGGGAAGGGGTGATGGGGGAGGAAGCGGGAGGGGAGCTGTTGCATTGGGGTAAGTTGTAGTCGGTGTCGTGAGACTGTGTGTGGACTGCTGTATGGAAAGTGAATTTGCTCTGTGAATTTTCACCCAAATCACAATTTAAAAAAAAAAAAAAAAAAACTCCAGAAAAGTTGAGGAGAAGGAGGGAAAAGTTTGTTGAATAAGCATCGAACCAGGATGTGATGCATCACGGGGAGTACACTAAAAACTTTGCAAAGAGAAAGAAAGCTTTTATGTAAAGGAGTGGGTATATATAACTCATTACATTTAAGATAAAACTACTAATCTTATACTGTCTTTGTAGCAGAGTACCTAGAATTATGCCAGCCTCCTGTCAGGAAACTGGGAGCTAGGGGTGTACACTTTTTTGATGATTACATTTCAAAAGATGGCTCCTGGGTCCTTAAGGAAACATTCTTGACATGTTTTCAGAAAGGCAAAGATTTTGCCAGTACAAGTTATCTAAAGTGAATTTTGAAAATACAGGGGAGAAAAGGAGCCTCTTTTCCTTATTTTTCAACAGGAAGAATTCGGACATCTTATTTTTGATTTGTATTTTTCCTTAATACAGATCTAAAGTTTTCTCCCTTGTAGACACCTCCGAGACTACCATTGACTTCTTCCGCTTTATGTAATCTGAGCCTCTAGGCTTAATTTTAAAGGCTTGGATTTAAGAGCAAATAAAAATCAGGCTTAATTGAATGGTGCACCCACCTGTAGAACTTGCTCCCTCAGGAAGCCTGAGTTGGTTGAGTCTTCTCAAAGGCTAACCACACTGAAAAATCAGAATTCTGTTTGCTGTGGTATTCTTGATGCCAGTGTTGAAGATTTTCTCTCCTTTGCAATAATAACCTTATATTCAGTTCAGTTCTGAAATCTTGAGGTTAGATCTCAAGACTGCTTCAAAGTTTCTGTTTAAAACTTAATAAGATATTGTCTGGATTGTTTTCAGCACCATTCTGCTTGAGTAAACTGATTCTCCCCGTTGCCATCTTCCGATGGGTTCATGTAAGAACCGGGAAAGAGAATAAATGAATGGACTAGAGGAGGCAGGTGCCGTAGTTGTGTCCTGACTTTGATGTGAGGCAGCAGCAGAAGTTGATAATACTGTTTTTTCACTTAGCATAAGTTTACATTAAACAAATTTTAATACATTATGGTTTATCAGCATGGAAATGTTAATGCATACATCAGTCAATAGAATAGTATAGTGACCTCTTTATACCCATTACACAACTTTACCCATTACACTTTTATTTTAATTGTAAAAATATATATCACCAAGCATTTGCCATTTCAACTTTTTTTGCATGTGTGATCCAATGACTTTGTTTTCATCATGTTGTACAACCATCACCATTATCCACCAGTTACACTTGTTGATAACCGTTTTTCCTTAATCCTTAGGTGGAGTCATCTACGCATGGCTGTCAGGTGTTTTAAATACACACACGCACACACACACACAACTTAATTTCAAAAAAGTCAATTATTTATGAATAGATGAGAAAGACTTAGTATGTTAATTTAATTCCAAACCATTGCTTTCTTGAGTTGTCCATATTCCTTTGAATCCAGTTTCTTTTTGCAGGTTATGGCTTGTTTGTAGAAAAGTAGACAGCTCTCTTAGTTCCTTTTTGTCATCAGAAAAGCTGTTGTTAATTTTCTTGTTTGTGGGTTGATAGTGCTGCTGCTTCACTTTGGGAAATAGAATCCTCGACGCAGTTGTAGCCACATTCTGAGAAAATGATATTTCATTATATTATACAGGTTATATTACCTGTAGGCCGTAGAACAGAGGCCTTGTCTAATTGTCATAGCTCCATCATGGTAGAAGTTATTGGCCTCAATAATTTGTTCTCTGGTCTGTTTAGTTGGTCTCTTTAGGGCTTTTTACAGGTCTGAGGCAGCAATGGTTTGTGGAGCTCAGTTAATGTTTATTCTAGGCAGGCAGTATTTGATGCTGGGCAGGTTGAAGAAAGTGGAGATTTTGAATGTTTTATACCTTGTGGAAGGTGAAGGGAGGGTGCTTTTTTCCTTTTACAAAAGAGTTAATTTTGGGCAAAGCTGGTTTATTATAATCTGAAAGCTGTTAAAGACATGATAGAAACTCTGTCTGGCTAGGATTGTTAGAAGTAGTTATAGACTGAAGGCAGTCAGTACAGATTGAGTTTGAGAATATTTTAAGAGTGGTACTGATTGACCCCAGCTGGCCCATGCACAAGAACCCCCTGGTTCCCTCCTGTGTACTTTGCTCCCCAGGGAAAATGAGCACAGGCCTAGGTGGAGCCCTGTGGAGCTGACTCCTGGTCTCGTACAGCATGTGTCTCTCTCACAGAGCTCCATTACCCCTGTTACATGGGGAGTGCTGGGATTCACAACTGCTTTCTGGGGCTGTGGAGAGCAGGGCTGCAAAAGGGGGCTTAGAGTTGCTGCTCTGGCACGTGTTTTGTCTGTGCTCCTGCTGCTGAGAAAGGCTTTGCCTCGTACACCAGTGCCCTCCTTTCCTTCCTAACTTCACCAGGTATTTATTGAGCTACCTCTCTGGCAGCACTGCAGCAGGGCTGATGAGATAAAAGGGTAAAGCATCCCTGTACTTAAAGAGGTTCCAGTCTGTTGGGTGAGGATGATGGACAGTGACAGTGCAGAGTAACAATTAAATGATGGGAAAGTGGGTGTGAGGTGAGAACTGTGGAAATGATGATTGTAAAAGCACAAACCCTGATCGAGGCTACATTAAAGTTAAAAGAAACACAAATAGGTATTTAATAGGCTACTTTGATAAAAGTAAGTCCTATGCTTGTTACTTCCTGGATCAGCTATCAGGAAGCAGGAAATGGGGGAGGAATATGAAGCATAGAGGTGAAGAAGGTTTTGCTTAAGTCATGTAAGTTCTCTTTGAATTAATAAGTGGCAAGAAACCTTGTGAGATAATCACAGTTGTTCTGGAGCTGCTACTAAACACAAAATTCTTCCTGGAATGAAGCCTTCAACATCAGTGAATGAAAAACATTAGATATTTTACTTATGTAATTGTTATTATGTGCCATCGAGTCTGACTGGACTCATAGCAACCCCTCCTTGGGTTTCCAAGGTGATACCACTACAGTAGTAGATTGCCCAGCCTTCCTTCTAAGGAGTGGCTGGTGGGTTTGAACCGCCAGGCTTCTGGTTAGCAGTCAAATGCCTTAGGCACTGCGCTACCAGATCTCCTACTAATATAATTAGGTTTGTTTTAATCTAATACATCACTGAATAAATCACTGGCTCAGACCCTTATCTGTTTTTCCATCTTAAGAGTTGAAAAAGTGAAATGAATTTGTGGTCCCAGCAGATTTAAATCCAAATGCAATTTGATACCTTCAGTTCTTCAGTAGAACCCTCAGGAGGCCTGCCCTGTGCAGGAGAAGAGTGCTCACCACTTTGAACTGAGGCTCTATGGCCCAGAGAAGCCATTTGAATCTTGTGGATTTTGTATTCATTGCATCTTTTTTAAGTTTTTTAAAATGGATTCCATTCACCAGAGTACCCTCGGGATTGAGTCTACACCCACTGCCATTGAGTTGATTCCAAACTATAGTGACCCCCATTGAGTTTTCAAGGCTGTAAATCTTTAGTCGATTGCCCCATCTTCCTTGCATGGAGCGGCTGGTGCGTTTGAACCACTGACCTGGTTAGCAACCAAATGCCTTACCCATAATGCCACTGGAGCTCCTTACCCTGTTTTCTAAGGGGCTCCGAAATAGTAGATTGATTGCCTAGGCTTACAGGAAGGGAGATTTCCTTATGTGTTTGGTTTCAGAGCTGTCCAAATTGGCATATGTGTTCACCACCCAATTGTCAGTTTTGTATCACAACTTGTAGACAAACCTCTGTGTAATCACAGATTCTGTATAGAAGAAATCTTGACTTGGTTGTACTGATTATCCAAGATGATGTTTTTAAGTTCCATTTCAAAATCTTTGATTAAAAACAAGCCCTCCTCCCCCCCCAAAAAAAGCATGAAGTAGGGCTCTCTAAGGACAGAATCACATGACTTTGTGGTCCTTTCTCTACCTTGGACCATAGGATCCAGTCACCATGCCTGTGCATGAATGAATGAGTGATCGATCTAGTGTTATCCTGGCTTGAGACATGAGATCTGTGACATTTTACGGGGATTACTTCAGCACAGAGGTTTGTCAAATTCTTAGCCATAGCTGACTTGCCAAATTTGTTACCCACCCTGTACTCTCCTATGTTAGCTTCTGTCCCCATGCTTTACACACACACCCTTTTTAATACCAGATTCTTATTTATAGGTTTGACCATCTGGAACAGTCTTTGCTTATATGCCTCACTGATTTCTTCTTGTTAAGTTTTCTCTAAAAAGTTGACTCTTGTCATTATCTTTCTGCCTATATTTTTACAAAGCCCCTTTCCTCTGGGATTTTGTAGAGTTTTCATAACATTTGAAACTACATACATGTTATACATCAAATTACCCACATTGTCAGAACTGTCCAAGAGCATTCTCTTGGTATATGTGTTCATCCATTGTATTTCAGGTAGACTTCAGAGAAGCTGTAAGATTGTTTCCAAAGGTTTGTGATTTTAAAAGATTTAAAAGGTCTAAAAATGTATTTTGTAACAAGTCTCTTTAGTCTCAGTTTAGAATTAGTTCCTGTGATGATACTAGGAGCTCTGGTGGGTAGTGCCTAAGGCATTTGACGGCTAGCCAGAGGCTGGTGGTTCAAACCCACCAACCACTCCCCAAAAGGAAGGTTAGGCAGTCTGCTTCCATAGTAATACTGCCTCGGAAACCCAAGGAGGCATCGCTATGAGTCGGATCTGACTAGATGGCAGTGTGTTTGGTTTAGTTTTTTGTGGTGATATTGGAGGGAGAAAATGACCATTGACACTGTCTGTCCTGACTTCATTAGAGGCATTAGAGGAACTGTTTCTTCAGGCAGTAGACAAGTTACCTAACTTAGGTGCCTCCTTTATTCCCAATAAGATGAATGAATTGTAGGTTCCCTCAAAACACTGAACTAAGAATCATTGTCCTCTTGGCAGTACCATTCTTTAGTACTTTTTGAATGCTTTGGAAAAATACTTGTCTGATCCTTAAAAAGGTATCTCTGAGATTAATGATATTGCAAAATCCAATTCATTAACGTCCCTTTATAATAGGTCTTGTGGTTTTAAGGATTTGGGTATCTATTAATACATCACAGCCAAAATTTATATTTCCTACGCCTTCCAGAATACACATTTATATTGTAAATGCTTACTGTGGCACAGCTTGGGTTGTGGGTGTTTGTCCTGTTTTCTGATCTTTATATTTTAGAGAACTTTGTTTCTGTTTGTGTATCATTGAACATCTCTGGTATTGCTCAAAGATGTTTCCTTTACAAGTATCAGAGAGATTGGGTCTGAATGTCATTTGAGAAATACAATTTGGAGAAAAAGCCCCACAGTTATTCCCTTCTCTTTTATTGCTTTGTATGTTTCCTTGATGGTGGTTAGAAAGATGGGATTGTGAAGTGATACAGTTTAAATTGGGAAGCTTTTTTAAATCTGGTTGTCTAGAGTAAGGGTGAGGATAGGATACATTGTTTCATAAAACATTTGTAGGGTTTCTAAGTAAACTAGAGTGAAGTAGGGGCATACCTGGTTTTATTGTGCTTCAGGGGTAATGCATTTTTTACAAATGGAAGGTTTGTGGCAACCCTGCCTGAAACAAGGCTGTCAGTGCCATTTTTGCAACAGTGAGTGCTCAGATGGTGTCTCTGTCACATTTTGGTAATTCTCACAATGTCTCAAACTTTTTCATAATGGTGTTGTATGCTTTTAGACAACAGTATGGTGTAACTGTAACTTTTTTATACTCTGGGAATCCAAAAAAATTTGTGTAATTCATTTTATTGTGGTGGTCTGGAACCAAACCTGAATCTCTGAGATATGCCTGTAGAGTGAACAAAAGGAAAGAATTGCAAGCCCACTTTTGCCAACCCCTCATCTTTTAGGACCCAGAGTTCAACAATACAGATCAGATCGACCTGTATGATGATGTGCTGACGGCCACCTCCCAGCCCTCAGATGACAGAAGCAGCAGCACTGAGCCACCACCTCCTGTTCGCCAGGAGCCATCTCCCAAGCCCAACAACAAGACCCCTGCAATTCTGTACACATACAGTGGCCTGCGTAATAGACGAGCTGCTGTCTATGTGGGCAGCTTCTCCTGGGTGAGCATAGGCAACCAGAAAGGCCTATGGGTGGGCTGGAGGGAGTGTGCTGGGAGGTGATGACATTTTCAGACACCACGTTGTTGCACTGTTTTGTGCTCTGATGGGGTTGGATTTCTTTTTCCTGGGATCAGGTTGGATTGATCTCTGAAAGAGAACTATCCTGAAGACGTACTGGTGCTGAAGGAAGCAATGATTAAGTGGGTAGTTGCTTTTTCTGCCATATCGTTACTGCCCCTGACCCTGGGGCTTTATGTCTAGCAGGGTCATCTGTGGGACGAGATTTCAGAGTGAACACCTTGAACTCTTGGTGGTCATTAGATGGTCCTGTGATAATGGATAATGGTGGGTGACGGGGACCAAAGACCTTGCTAGCTCTAGTGCACTCTGGGTAGGTGGTGACTGTTGTTCTGCAAAAGTTATTATCTAACATGTTTGGGGCTGGTGGGGGGTGGTTTTCCAAATTAAATATATATACTGAAACTGAAGGGAAAGTTTCTGGCAGTGGCCTGCACTAGCCTATCAGATCATAATTTAAAGCTGCTGGTAATCAGTGTTGGAATTGATGGCACATGGCAGTCAAAGTGAATGGGGGTTTTAATCTTAATTTCTAAAGATGGGATTTGGGGAGGGGGTGGGTGGTTTGGAGTTCTTTATTAAGTGAGAACAATAAGAAAAGCTCATGGTCATTGAAATAATTGCTAGGCTTTTGGGAGGCACGTTGTGACTAGATCTTAGGTTTAGAGGACAGGTTGGGACATTCTGGGTAGGGGGAGGGTTTGTAGCTCTTGACATTTCTTCCTTTTCCATCTTAATGGCCCCAGTGGACTACAGACCAGCAGCTGATCCAGGTTATTCGCTCTGTAGGAGTCTATGATGTGGTGGAGTTGAAATTTGCAGAGAATCGAGCAAATGGCCAGTCCAAAGGGTGAGGTCTGGGTTTGAGAAGCCCCTTTTCATTTGTAATTGTTGGGATAACAGATGTGCATATTCCGATCCAGGTTTTTATCTTTTCCTTCCTGACCCAGTTTATTGCCTTGGTTGGCAAACCACCTCAGAGTGGGGATGTAACTGCAACGTAGTAGAAAATCTATCCATTGAGAGGCAAAGAAAACTGATTTTTGATTGCAAATGAGAAGATTACAGGCTGATGCCCTTTTGTTACAGTTTTCTGTATGTTTTTATTAATAGCAAGATAGTGTTTGCTTTACCAATTTTCATTAAGTGTAGAAGAGAATTTATTACTTTCGGTTGTCTAGTAGATCTCATTTGGTTTTTATTTTTCTTCTTCAAGGTATGCTGAGGTGGTAGTAGCCTCTGAAAACTCTGTCCACAAATTGTTGGAACTTCTGCCAGGAAAAGTTCTTAATGGTGAAAAAGTGGACGTGAGGCCAGCCACCCGGCAAAACCTGTCACAGTTTGAAGCACAGGCTCGGAAACGTGAGTGCGTCCGAGTCCCAAGAGGGGGTACGTGGAGACCATCTGTATGGATTGGGGGAGGTTTGCGGGTGGCTTTCTGTGGTGTGGGCTTAGCCTACAATGGGGGAGTGGTTGGGGTGATGGGTAGCAGCATGCTTAACAGGGAGGAGCATAGAACGGGGAGTCAGGTGGGTTCAGGTTGTAGTTCACTGTGTCCCTAACCTTAAGTCACTTTACTGAGTGGAGCCTGTTTTCCCATCTGAATTAGATACCTGATGGGTAAAGTACCTGCCAACTCTAAATTTTGTGTTTTTATATGACAATCAATGTGCAGTAGTTGGACTTACCTGACACGTTCTGCATTATAATTTAGAAATCGTTTACATAGGAAATAAATGTCTATAAATTGTCAAGAAGTAGCCACCCTAAAATGTAACTAAGGTAAAGATGATTGTAGTCTTGTCATGAAGGTACATTGGAAGCGTGGTCTGCAAGGAATCAACCAAAAAGAGAGTTGAAGAATAAGAATTTAAGTGTTACTCCAGCATTGTCCAGGGGAAGGGGTTGCCTTTCAATTACTAAATATTTTGGTCTGCTTGGCAAGTGTATCCCATCAGTAAAGAAAGTTGTATCATACTACTGTAGCTTGATGATAGCATAGCTTAGGTTCATCTTACTCCTTTTATTCTTACTCTCTACTTGTCAAGCAACCTTCTGATAACTAATTTGGTTTCCAACTAGGCTCTCCTATTGGGAAGAGAATGCGCTGACCAGCTGACACAAGTATTCTGGTCTGCTTGGCAGTTACATTTCTCATTGTAAATTAATAAATTGGCATTCTGGTTTATGAATCAGTGTCTTGTGAATTTGGTTAGTGTAAATCAGTCTCCTAGGGTCCAGTCACCACAGGTGAACTGACAAAACTTGAGTTTCTGAACCCGTGAAACTTAAGAACAGACCTTGGAATGTCCTGACATCATAAGGTGCGGTATCCCTGCAAGGCCCTGCCTGAAACAGTGAGCCGCTCTTACCTTCCTGTTGCCACAGTGGGGCGATGGCAGAGCTTCATCACCTACTGCTGTCGTTGATTGGGTCCTGTATTGATTGGGTGGCAGCATGGCAAAGCAGCTTGCTGAGCAGCTGTCTCTTGTTAGCTAGATTGAGAGCCTAGATGGGTGTGATGCAAGCTCCACCAATACCCTCTTCTTCCTTGACAACTTGAATTTTTAAGTGCTTTCCATTTCAGTCTTTATAATTCAGCCTTCTTTACTTTCCTGCCTATGATGTATACTTTTGCATTGATTTGGGGTAGCATTCCTACCTCCACTCTCCTGTTTATTCCTTGGTGTTTCTTTTCTCAGCTGAAATGATGGGAGTGACTGAGTGGTAGTTTTCTCCTCTGTCACATTGATGGGCTTGGGCTCTGTTATTTCACAAAGTGTTCCCTGCTTTAAAAATGGTTGCTTCTCTTGGGACATGTAGCCATAGCTACGAAACAGAAGCCTTGCAGATGTAGGAACAGCGGCTGGTAAATGGTTCACTTTCAGAGTCACACTTCCCTTACACAATTCTTCTTTCTTCCATTTGAGAGACCTTTGAGAAGTGAAGAATAAGAGCATGTTATGACAGGTGCTAGCCAAGAATAAAGATAGTAGAGACACCTGGATAGATGACAAGGTGATTCGTTCCCCCTTATGCTTTCATCAGGAGTTGGGGTTGGCTAACAAGTTTTAGTTTAAGGAACACTCTTCTTTCTCTCCACACTGAACTTCTACTTCCAAGACTCTGTGATCATGGTCATCAGTTCGATTTTATGTTAGCTGGGCTTAGAGTAGACTCTGAAAGTAGAGTGAGGGAACATGTTTAATCAAGAGACTTGGCAGTGTCAGATGCCATGCTCCCAGACAATACAAATGTGCCCACCACCATCCTAGCATGCTATGATGATGGTCCCAGTAGACTGCCTTGTAGAGCAGGGGTCTGGCCATTGAAATGGAGTGGAGTTCCCTAGATTTGAGACATGCTTTCCACCTAGGAGTCCCTCCTATCAGCTGTGTGCTGTCTCCTTCTCTGAGCAGATCTTTTCTTGGCTTCTCACACGTTTTCTCTTCATTCTCACTTGTCCTCCAGTCTTCTGCTCTTCATGTGTGTGTGTTCCCTACTCCAGTGGCCAGTTTATATGTGGATGCAGGGAGTGTCATCCATCCTCTGTGTCACCCCTCTCCCCTAGCCCCAAATTCCCTGCCTACGGTGCTGCAGCAGGAGTCAGTCAGTCAGTGCGTGTCTAAGGAGAGAGCCCCTGAACCCTTTCCAAGAGACTTGGGATTTCAACTAAGTTGAATCCAGCTAAGTAGCAATGAACACACTTCTCATGACTTATTAGGTTCCCCTTGCATTTAAAAATAAAGATAGATTAAATGTGTTCTGAAGCACTTTGAGAGTTCTGGATGAAAAGCATATTTTGACAAATAAGGTTGAGAATGTATTGTTTATGGGACTATATTGGTTTTGCTTTTGGTTTTTTAACTTTTGATTGTGATGTGGGTGAGAGTTTACAGAACCCATTGGTTTTCCATCTAACACTGGGTCTGTATTGTAACTAACCTTTTCTCTAAGGCCAAAGAAAGGGCAGTAGATGATTGATCTTCTTTCTCAGCTACTGGAGTCACCTTCTTCAGTATGGTATCAGATGACTTTATTGAAGGATGAGCTGGGCCCATGTCTAAAGCCTGGGCAGTAACATTATTTCTGTTTTACTTCATAGGAATACCTCCACGGGCCCACTCCCGAGATTCTAGTGATTCTGCTGATGGACGGGCCACACCCTCTGAGAACCTCGTACCCTCGTCTGCCCGTGTGGATAAGCCCCCCAGTGTGCTGCCCTACTTCAATCGCCCTCCTTCAGCCCTCCCCCTGATGGGTCTGCCCCCACCCCCAATTCCACCTCCACCACCTCTCTCCTCAAGCTTCGGGGTCCCACCTCCTCCTCCTGGCATCCACTACCAGCATCTTATGCCCCCCCCTCCTCGATTACCTCCTCATCTGACTGTACCCCCCCCTGGGGCCATCCCACCTGCCCTTCACCTCAATCCAGCCTTCTTCCCTCCGCCAAATGCCTCTGTGGGGCCTCCACCAGATACTTACATGAAGGCCTCTGCACCCTATAACCACCATGGCAGGTAAGGACTAGCTTCTTGTATTCAAATCTGAACTAGGTATAGTAACGTAGACAGTGTTAGTGTTTTTTCCCTGAGGAAGTAAGCGCCGAATCTTGTGCTTTCCCTTGTGGGATATCTGTTGTCATAGTGTTGTGGTCTGGGAAATAGTTTACCATCTATTTGTTAATGTCTTTTATTTGGTTTTCTGTTTGCATTTTACACACTTGACCCAAGCTGTATCTTTTGATAGCCCGTTCAAGGAGCTTGATTAAATTGAGCGCCTTAAGTGGCTATTACGAATGCTGCATGATATCTAGCACTGCTGGGTCATGCCAGAATTACAAAAGTACATGCCATGAGTCCTATCCTGAAGAGAAGATACACACATAAAACACATGAACAGTCTGAGAGCCATTTGAGACATTATACGGTAGAGCACAATTAAATAACAGTACCATAAACCCCAAACCAAAACCAGTGCCATCACCTTGATTGCAGCTATTGGAGACCCCACGTGATACAGTGTGAAACTGCTCCACAGGCTTTTCTTGGCTGTAGTCTTTATGGAAGCTGTTCACCAGGGCTTTCTGCCACAGAGCTACTGAGTGGGTTGGAAGCTCCAACCTTTAGCAGCTGATTGCAAACCACTAGCTCCACCCAAAGACCCTAACAGTACTATAGAATACGCCCCATCTCCGTTAACTCCTCGTCTGGCTATGCCTCCCCCCAGGGCCCTCCTACATGCACACAAAGGGTATGGACAATCAGGAATGGTATTCTCTCTCTGCAGCAGAGATTCAGGCCCTCCATCCTCTACGGTGAGTGAAGCAGAATTTGAGGAGATTATGAAGCGAAACAGAGCAATTTCCAGCAGTGCCATTTCCAAAGCGGTATCTGGAGCCAGTGCAGGTAATTCACACATACCTATGCTGCTTTCCCCTTACCTTTATTTTTTCCCATTGTTTTATCATTACCATTGGCAAGAAGTTCAACCAGATAAAGTTGGAGTCCTGTTAAGACTCTCAAGAGAGGTTTATTTTGAAGAGCAGTAAGTGGCCTATTTCTTGGTTTTGCTGAAGCTTTGATGTTATTTCTTTAATGTATACCTTAGACCTGCCTCACAAAACCAACTGATAAAAGATAATTAACTAACAAATAGCTTTTGATTGCCATATTTGTAGTAGAATGAAATTCCTTCATTATGTAGCTCTTGATTCAGTGTAGTGACCGCAGTGGGTCTCAAAACCAAACTCACTGTCGTTGAGCGCCCTCCTTGGGTTTCAGAGGTGGTGTCACTATGGAAGTAGATTGCCCAGTCTTCCTTCCAAGGAGTGGCTGGTGGGTTTGAACCACCAGCCTTCTGGTTAGCAGTCAAATGCCTTAGGCACTGCACCACTGGAGAAGTTGGTCTAGTGCCAAGTATACAGGTTTTTAGGAATGATGGTTCACTAGACAGTGTTTTGATATGGAGTAATCTACATTTGGGAGTCTAGGCAGAACTGGTGGCCTCCATGTAGTCTGTTCTAGAAAGAGGCAAGAGTGTTGAGCATCATCTTAAGACATAAACCCCTACAGTTAACTTTTGCCCTGCTCTCAGTGCTAGGTGGGTAGAAAACCAGTAGCTATGATTCTGGGACCTCTAGGTACAAAATCTTTGGTTCTCAAGAAAAGAGAATGTAAAGTCCAGGGTCCTGGTCCCAGGTTCACAGTGTGACAGTTGTCATAATCCAGTTCTTCCCTTCCAGTGAACTTGATACCTCTTACATGCATGTGGAATGTCAGATCTCTTAGAAAATAACCCTAACTTGTTTTCTATACTTTCGTATCTTTGGCTGTAAATCACAAAGTAGATTAAGGACAGGAAGTCCATGTTTTCTTCAGGTTTTTTTTTTTTCTGCCAGAAAACCTTAATTGACACCTGAATCTTTTTAAATTAAAAAAGTGATACATGCTCATTGCAACAAGTCAACTATTGAGAAGAATTTTACAAAGAGAATAATCAGTGTTCCTGCTTCTCTGCCAGTCCCTTCACACTGAGATCATCGATAACAGGATCTCTCTCTCCCTCCATCCCTTTCTGTTATTCAGACTACGAATAGTTATTGAGGGCCTCCAAAACACAGAGAAATCCCTACTCTTGTGGAGCTGATGTCCTGGTGTTGCTGACTGCCATAGGATCATAGAGCTCCTGTTCTTATTTCCTTGCACAGAAAAGCAACCAATCCTCATTTTCACTGGACTGCTATCCAGATGCATGCTTTCCTTGTGTTATTGTCTGTCTATAATGCTCTTGACTCAGCTTGGAAAAGCATTATTATAGGCAGGTACTCACCCTCTAGCCTTTAGTCTCTAACCTTGAGTTAGGCATTTAGAAATGAAGGAGCTAATTCTTGATAGCAACATTTTTTTTTTTAGTTTATATTCATATTATAATTAACGTACATTTATAGTATAATATATAATCTGTTGTATGTGTATGTACATATAAATCAAATTGGAGAAGAAACATACATTAATTAAAATACATGTTTAAAAATAATTCAGACAGAAATATGTAAAGTTAAAAAATGAAAGTTGTCTATACAAAGACTACCAATCCAAGTCCCAACAGGACTGCTTTTTCCAATTTACTATATGTTTCTCTATATTTTTTTTCAGTTTATATAATTTTGAATTTTTTTTCTTTTTTACCAAAATTGTTGCATCTTGTTTTTTTCAATTAATATATTTTAGACATCTATTGTGTCAGTATATATTATCTAACATTTATTGAGCCCTCATGTGTGCTTGGTACTGTGCTAAGCCCTTTAGTGGATTACTTTGTTTACATACAGATTTATCTCATGCTTTTTAATAATTATGTAATATTCTGTAGAACCAACATTCCAGATTTTTTTTTTTATGTAGCCACATCCTATTGAAGGAGCTTAACATTGTCTCCAATTTTGTAATATAACAATGCTGAAACAAACACACTTAACCAGAGATATTTGTAAGCAGAAGTAAAATATATATATATAGTAAAATTGCTGGGTTGAAAATAAACACATTGTTGTTTTGGTAGCTGTTGTAAAATTGCCTTTGGACAACAAGATACAGTTTGTACATCTCCTAGCAGTATCTGAAAACAACTTTCTGGTTCCAGACCATTGGAATATAGGTGCCATCCAGTTTTATACCTATCTCTTCTGCCTTGTTCATTTTACCTTGGTTCTATGGGACAGTTAGTTACTCTTGCTTTGTGTCCTTCTGGGTTTTCCTTTTGGTCCAGTTTGTTTACTGCCTCTGCTCACCCTTGGCTTTTTCCATCCATTCCCTGTTAGGGGATTACAGTGATGCAATTGAGACACTGCTCACAGCCATTGCTGTTATCAAACAGTCCCGGGTCGCCAATGATGAGCGTTGCCGTGTCCTCATCTCCTCTCTTAAGGACTGTCTTCATGGCATTGAAGCCAAGTCCTACAGTGTAGGTGCCAGTGGGAGCTCTTCCAGGTGAGTGGCTGATTGCTTTGTTGGCCTACCAGCCCTGATTGGTACTCTTCCTGGAATTGGCAGGTAGGGGGAGGAAAGGAGTCCATGGTACTTGGCAAGGATCTGGCTGAAAAAGTGGACTTAGCCCTCATGTCTTTAAGAACTTAAATCAAACACATTTCCTTAGTAAGTGTTGTAATGTCAGGAGTCTGTGGAAGGTAGGCTGTGGGCTCATTTTAGGAAAAAAAGACTGCTATAAATGGTTAAGAACATGAGCTTTGGTCCCACAGGCTTAGATTGTAATTCCAATTCTGCTGCTGATTGCCTGCCTGTAAGACCTTGAGGAGGTCACCCAACTTTCCAAGACTCGTTTTTTTCTCATACTTAAATTTTTGAGACAATAGTAGTATTTATCTTACAACCTATGGTGAAGATCAGGTAAGATAATGCACGTAAAGCCCGTAGCACCATGCCTGATACACAGTGAAGATCTCAACAAGTTTAGCTGTTAGTATTTCCCTAAAACAAGACTAGGCCTCAAAGAGCTAACATTTTTAAGACAGATGGGCACATGGTAGAGTAATGATAGAACAGTGGTTTAGATAAATAATGGAAAACACCAAAACAAACTCTTGGAAAGCATGTGGTCAGCTCTAAGTGAGGCTGAAGGATCTTTCTGACAGGAAAAGACACCGGTCCCGGGAGAGGTCACCTAGCCGGTCCCGGGAGAGCAGCAGGAGGCACCGGGACCTGCTCCATAATGAAGATCGGCATGATGACTATTTCCAAGAGAGGAGCCGGGAGCATGAGCGACACCGTGATAGAGAACGGGACCGGCACCACTGAGAAAGGTGGGACCCTCTCCTGGCTCCCAGATGAGCTTATCATGAAGGAAAATGGATGGTGAAGATCTCTTGGTTGCAAGCGTGTGTGTTCTGTCTGTCTGTCTGTCTCTCTCTCATTTTAAAACAGATCAAGGGGATGGGAGGATTTTGGGCTTTAGGTAACTGAAAGTTCAAGAGGGGAAATTTCCTGCTTGCTTGTGGGGAGGCTCACTGTTGGATGGATTTGAGATTAAGTGGTTATGCTTGTTTCGTGACAGCCTGAGCAATAACATAGCATATCTAAGCAATAACATAGTATAATGGCTAAGAGCATAGAGTCCAGAAGCAGAAAACACTTCCAGTCACAGCTCCGCCACTTGGGAGCCACATTACTTTCTGCCTGTCAGTTATATCTCTGTAAATGAAAATACATGTAAAAGCAACTGTCTCACTGAACTGCTGACTGTTTGGTGAGATGGTCCATGTAGAACATTTAGCATTCAGCGCGCTGGCACATAGTAAATTTTCTGTAAATGTTAAACATTGTCATTATCAATATTATATCTTAACCCCACCAAACTTTCAAGGGGAAAAAAAAGCAAGACAGAAAAGACTGCCTCCTTGTTTTGAATGTGCAATGTTAATGATTTTGAGTAATGACTACTAAAAACAAACAAACTCACTTCGGCTGAGTTGATTCAACTCATAGTAACCCCTCCTTGGGTTTCTGAGGCAGGCGGTATCACTACGGAAGTAGTGCTATGCTACCAGAGCTCCTGACTATTAAAAAGATTTTGAAGATTGGAATACTTTAGTCTGAGAGGAGATAGGGATCTTAACATTGTCTTTAATAGCTTTAGAGACTATGTGAAGGATAATCAACTTCAAAGAATTTTTTGTTTTGAAAACTTATTGACAGTGATTCTTTTTTTTTTTTTTTTTAGTAAAGCAAAAGCAAGCATGTTGGGTGTGATACTTACGTTATTAACTCAGGTCACTGAAAAGGTCATTCAGGGCTGATTGGCTCCGGGGACTGCCACTGTGTCATCAGAACACTCTGCATCTCTCGCTCTGCTTTTCTCTGCCATTTTATTCTCAGGCAGGCTCCATATTGAGGACCTCCAGTGGCTCCAGATTATGTCCCTTTAAGTAATATCCCACCAGCCTAGCAATTCCAACTTCAAGACAGCTTATAGCAAAGAATGTTTATAGTGAATAAGCAAGAGTAGTTGTTGACTCTCTTTCTGTGGAGGTCTTTAAAAGTAGGCCAGACTCTGGCCGAGATGGTCTGTTTGTGGTCCCTAGAGGTAGGAGAGCTCTGGTGGCATAGTGCCTAAGGTGTTTGACTGCTAACCAGAGGTTGGCGGTTCAAACCCACCAACCACTCCTCAGAAGGAAGATTGAGCAATCTACTTCGGTAGTGATACTGACTTGGAAAGTAAAGGAGGGGTCGCTATGAGTCGGACCTGACTTGACGGCAGTGAGTTTTTAGACGTAGTTGCATGACCCAGGTGACTTTGGGATATCTTTCGATACGTGCTTACAGACATAAAAAGTCTTTAAGAATCCCAGTGCATTCTGGAGGTAATCATGATGGTTTACCAGTTTGATTGGTCTGCGGTTGCTAAAAGGACTTAGGGGCAGCATCTTCTGACCTCCTTCAGTCTCACAAGGAGAAAACAGAATCACCATCAGCAGCCCAAGGCTTATTGCTATAAGGCTAGACAAACTGCCAGTCATCTTCAACCTTTTCTTAATTCTGACACCAGCTGCTGTTCCTCCCACTACCTCTCCACTGGGTTTGATAATTCTTTGCAGTGGACACACAGAACTCACGGACAATACTCACAATTATGGGGTTTATTAGGGAAGCAACAGGCTACAATTCAGGTTCAGGAACATGCTCAGAATACAGTTCTTCAATCAGAACAGTCTCCCCCCTGCTACACCCTTAGGCATGCCTCTCTAACCCGTGGTCTCTTGGCCTGGCCTCTGCCCTGCTTGGACAAGTGTTAGAAAGTTCTTTTAGCTCTGGTGACGGACACACTTATGTGCACCCCACTTCACCAGCAAGCTTCCTGCCCAAAGACACTCATCTTTCTCACTCTGTGGGCCAAGTAAGCCTACAACTCCTATCTCTTGGTTCCACTGCTGCTGTTTTCTCTGCTGGGTGTCTCTCTGCCAGGTGTCTCTGCCAGAGAGGTCTAGTTCAGGGATCTCGGGTCCAAGGACACACTCCACTCCACCTCCAGTTCTTCTCTCTTGATAGCAGTGAGATTCCCCCTTTCTGCCTCTAGGAAGGCTCATATTAAGCCTGGTAGAGTGACAAAACTAACCAATCTCAACATCAGAGTTCTACACACCTTATTTTCATGGTCCCACCCTGTAATCTGGTGGGAGTTACAAAGACTATGGCTAGAAAAGCCATACGAGCAGTACTGGTAATTAAGGAGGGTGAGAAGTCACTAGTTCTGTTTGTGTATCTTTATTGATGTGGGTTGGATAGTGGATGACTAGATGAAGAAGGAAAAAGAAACCCTCCCTACCCACTGTGAGTCCTATAGTTCCTGAGGTATAGCTGGATCGTACACGGTTAGAAAATTCTGCAGTGTTTTCCCTAGTGTCAACCTACTCACAAACAAGAAAATTCTTGTTATGCTATTTAGCTATTGTCCTCCCCTTTGTTGTTTGGCATTACCTACCAAAAACATAAATAAAGTTAGAGCTAGGAGTTGTCTCTGACTTCTAGGAAGCAAGTGGAAAGGTGAGAAGTTTACTAACATTTTTTACTTACCTCTTTTCTCTGTTCTTGGGAGCTCTAGTGGCATAGTGTCTAAGGCATTTGACTGCTAACCAGAAGGTTGGCAGTTCAAACCCACTAGCCACTCCTCGGAAGGAAGATTGGTCAGTCTACTTCCGTAATGATACCCCCTTAGAAACCCAAGGAGGGGTCTCTATGAGTCAGTAGCGACTTGACGGCAGTGAGTTTTTTAGTTTTCTCTGTTCTTAAACCTCTTGTTTATTCCACAGAAATCTAAAATGTGGGACATCTTGAAATCTAGGATAACTCATTTAGAATCAGTAAGTTGAGTGAGTTTTAGGACGTGCCCACCTATCCAGGCTCAGGGTAAAAAGCACACTAGTATAAATGGAGCCCACAGACTTCTTTGACCTAAGTCACTGAGAGTAATCAAGAGACCTCACATCGGTATTTGGTCCGGTCTCATCTCTGCAGCAGTAGCAGCGTTTCACTTTTCTTGTTCGAGCTAGCAAAATGTTAGTATTGCTTGTGGGTCCCACCCCACCACCCCAGTCCTGTAGCCTACAGTGTGTCTTATGGAGTTAGCTGGGATAACATGACCAGGGAGGTGTTCTTGACCACGTAGAATATGAATCATAGTCTCTGGAGCCACGTTCAGTTTAGTAATTAGAACATACACCTGCATGTCCGTTTTTACTGGCTTTGCTGCTATCAGCTTTAAACAGGGAAATTATCAGTGAGATCCATTAATCACTTGCACTTTGGAGAGTGAACATCTCTACTTGACACTTCAGGTGTCATGCTGTATCATTTTTTCCACCTGTAAAACAGACTGTTTCTTCTGTTAGGAGGGTGACTCTGGAAGTCATGTAATCCAATAGCCTCCAGAAAAGTTAACCTGTCTAATGTGGGTTTGTAACAAGATGAGGAACATGAATTCTGAGGCAGGTTTTCCACTTCCCGACTTTTCCTGATCACCCCTTACATATACCAGTTATTCTGTCTTTGTCCTGGAAAAGAGCTAAATTAGACACTCAGCAGATTTCTCACATTCTCATTGAAAGGACTTTCCATTCTATCTGCAATACCACATTGTGACTTAGGAGGCTTCACGTTGGGAAAATGGTCTGTGGTCCTCATTTCTTTGAGAGAATTTAGTTTTGCAAGCTCATTGTACAGTGACTTTTCCACTAGAAAATAGTAGACTTACATTGTATGGATGGTTGATCCCTAAGAGTGATAGGTGTGTTCTGTCTAGAGGCAGCAACAGAACAACCTTCATCTGTCCCCCTTCATGACACAGCCATGACACAGTGGCTGACTGGCCACTGCAGGAGTCTCTGCTTCTTTGTGATCTCAAGCATCACCACCAAAAATGTTGTCTGGAGCCTTAAGGATTGGCCTACTAGTCCTGCTGTAGTGACTTCTCTTTGTGTACGTGTTATCGTCTGTGTCATGTTTTGCAGGGACAGTTGACAAATTACATCCTTTCCAGGGTGTAAATGTGTATTTTTTGGAGTTTGAGGATGTTCTTAGGTAATCTGTGCCTTTGGTTTTTGTAGTTCTCAGCTGTGTTAGTTGTGTTGTTGTTTTAGGACATTATCGTACTCAAAAGAGTCATTCTCACCCTATTCCTATACTTCTGATTCATTGAAAACTGAGCTTTTCAAAATTTGATCTGTCCAAAGAGTCAGAAATCCTAATGGTGTAAAATTGAGAAGACACTGAGGCCCTCAGCTTTTCCTTAGGAAAAATGGGACAAATACCTGCCTGCTTAGGTGTTAAGAGAAGCCACAAGGCTGACGCTGTAACAGATTCTGAGGGTCCCAAACTGAAAAGACTTAGTGCCATTTCAGCTTGTGGGCAGGTCGGCAGCATGTGGATGTGTCTCTGTCTTGGATAGCTCTTCGATTGTGTGCCTGTTATGAGGGCTTTTCGTGGAAACACATGTACGAAGGCTGAGCATTTGCATAGGCTTTTGCCAGGTTGGGCATTAGTAGAACTTCTAAGCCTAAGTTTAATTCCTCCTTTTCCTTTTGACTATTAGTTCTATTTAACATAGGATCACTGTCAGACTGCCCAGGCCACCACTGGCAGGTTGATATTGCAGCATTGGGACAGAGACTGAGTGTCCTAGGAGCCTAAGTTTAATGGCAATGTCGCAAGTAGCTTAACAGTCCCTTACTGTTGGGCAAAAGTTCTTAACTTTAGGTTTCTCTGATAGTGAGTACTTATTATTTCCTTTCACTTCTATGCTCTGCTTCCTGTTCTTTTCTAGCTAGGCCATGCCTGCTTTGTGTTAGGATGCTTCTGGGTCCCTCACCCATGACTGCCATCTGGGGAAAGACGTAATCTCGACTTTTAGTATAACCTAGAACATCTCTGGCCGTGTGCGTGTGTGCTCACACACATACTCACAAGGACACAGCTTACAATCTGTGGTAACCAGGCTTCTTGAAAAGGAACAGTTGAGGCACTTCCTGTGTGTGTGTGTGAATGCTTCCTGCTGGGCCTAAGATGTTAGGGGTTAATTGCTTTGGTTATGTACACACTTGCTTTCTTACCATGGTACCTCCCATTGCCAGATTCTCTGCTCTGTTAAGGTAAGGTAAGACATTCAGAACAGAGTTGCTGAACCATATTTAAACTCACCATGCTTCCTTCTAGCAGCTTTTCTTGAAATGTAATTGTTTCCATACTTTTCTAGCCAAAGTCTCCTTTTCCATCAGATTGCTTTCAGAGACCTCATTTCATGGTCTGTTTTTCTCCTAATGTTAAAAGTGAGACGGCATTGTTGCTTCTTTTTAACTCATTGCGGGGAAACTGTTGGTGCTCTTTCAGAATGTCCCTGACAGACCAGGCTTGCATTCTCCCTTTCAGTCTACATCCCTGCTGCTTATGGTGTAACTTTAGGAAATACCAGTGTAATTCACACAAGCAGCTGCTGACCAGAAAGTAACCTGTAACTTACGCTTTCTTTCCTCTCTTCTGATGTTCTCATTGCAGGAGTCTGGTTGGAAGCAAATGTTTTTTTAAATGGACTTACATCTCCTCACCTTGATCAGGACTAAAGGACGGAGGCCGCTCCACCCTTTCCCCTTCTTCAAGCCCCTAACTCCCTCCAGACACCCAGGGAATACCCTCTGCCCCACAGGATTGAAGATTGCTTGGCAGCCCTCCCAACCCCACACCTCCTGTTTGCCAGGGGAAAGAACTTAAAGACTTTGTGTGCCTGGGAGGGATGGCAGACAGGAAGAAAACAACATGGCCAGGCCCCTGGTCTCCATAGGGAACGGTGCTTTGTCCAAGGAAATGTAGTTTCTGATTCTCCAGGAACAGTTCAGTGGTGAGGCTGATAGGAAGACTACCTTCCCAGAGAAAATGGATCCTCCAAGTGGGGTCTTGGAGAGTGACTGGGTGTGCCAAAATATGCCCAGGGCCCTGCCCTCAGCACTAGTGTTGATGGGGCCAAGAGGGTCCAGGTCCCTTGCTAACATACCACTTCTTTGTTTGACTCTTTTATCTTCCCAGCCCTTTGAGGGACCATGAGAACAGAAATTACCTTATGAGAAGCTATTTTTGTTCTTGCTTTTCCCTCTCATATGTTGATGGTTTATCTCCCTGACCTCCCCAAGGGCTGAGCTCTTTCACCTCCCTGCTGCCCAGCCTCCTCCATGGACTTGTCCTTTCGAAGCAGAGAAGGCCTGTGAGGTGGCTTTCTGCTGGGGAGCCTGGCAGAGCCGTTAACACTCTGTTGCTTAGTGTTTGGTTGCCTCTGCTACTGGGTGTCCCCTTTCTTGGGGCTTTTCCATTTCATATGTGGAGCCCTTATCCCAAAAAGGCTGCTTCCTTGTTTTAGAGGAAGGTACTGCCACTAGGAGATGGGAACATTAGGACCTCCGCAGTGAAGAACCTGTATGATAATATTAAGAGTGGAGAAGGAGGTGAGTTGGGCAGGATTTGGCTTACTTCCATAGGCTTTTCTTTTTCAGGTTTGAGGTAAGCATGGGTTTGCATCCCCTGGGTACGTACCTTTACTTATTGTGGGATAACCTGGCACTAAGAAGCAAGTAAAGTCACAGATTTGGTGTCTGTCCGTCCACCTTTTGACTTAATAGCTCCCCTTGTTCTGCCTGGTGGTACTTCCTGCTTCTGATAAGGAGCAAGGAAAAAGCGGAACCTGCCTTGAATGAACTCACCTCTGAGTTCTAAGGACCACCACTCCAGGGCCATTTTCTACACAGGCAAATGGAATTGCTTTTCCCTCAACATCCAGAATTGTGATATGCCTGCTACTGCAGGAGGTAGCAGCAACAGGGTCCTGCAGTACTCATAGGGTGATGCTACTTCTGCATGCCTCCGAGGCCATATGACATCTAACATAAGGCAAGAGACACGGCTCGTGAGCTGCAGGGTCGCTGGAGATCCTTGTGGCTCAGGAGAAAATGAATTTGAGCCCTTCCTCTGTTCCCAGCACAATTCTGACATAGCCCTCAGTCAGTCACTGAGGGAGGACCCCAGGGTTGGAGAGGTACATTCCCTAGGACAGAGGCTGCAGGTGGTAGCTCTCTTTCCTGTTCCTCAGTCCCACCCCCACCTTGGAACACGGCACCCCGTCCCACTGGCCAGGTGTTAAGATGTGCGTGTCCTCGGGAGCAGCTCGGGTGTCTTTTTAAAATGTAGAGAAAACCAAGTAAGGTGACAGTTTAAGGAAAAAATATATAGAATACCAGAAAAGCTGTTTACCTGGAGAATTTTTCTCCCCATTTTTTTTTTGTTTGTTTGTTTGTTTTGTTTTTACTCATGACACAATTTTTAGTTTATTTCCTGGTAGCAAAAGGAAAAAAAAACCCAACCCTCAAAAAAGCCAAGGCCCCGTTCCCCTGTTGTCGGTGATTTGTCTTTCTGATAGGTTGAAAATTGTGTAATAAACTTGATGACGCTGTCAATCTTTTATACTGCATTGTATTTTTTTTTCCTTTTGTAACAATATTTTAAAACAATAAATGGGGTGTGAGCTATTTTATGGATTCTGCATTGAATAGATTTGTTGAGATGAATTGGAGTCAACTTTATGGCAGTGGGTTTGGTCTTTGGTTTATGGGGCAAGGGCTGATGTAGAGGCCATCAGATGGTAGTGAAACCCTGAGTTATTAGCCTGGAATTGCATGTCACTATGGCTATCACTGGGAGCTCTGGTAGCGTAGTGCCTAAGGATACTTGACTGCTAACCAGAAGGCTGGCGGTTCAAACCCAACAGGCATTCCTCGGAAGGAAGATAGGGCAATCTACTTCCGTAGTGATACTGCCTCGGAAGCCCGAGGTGGGGTCACTATGAGTTGGGTCCGACTCGATAGCACATAACAACAACAACATGGCTATCACTGCTTGTGGTAAGCCTACCAAGAGACCTATAATGCAAATGTTTGGGAACGTCCTGTGAAGTGTAGCTTTTTTTCCTTAGTCATCTAAACAGCCTGGTTGAAAAAACTTCCCTTTACCCTTCAAGGTTCCTATGACTTACTTTCAGCAAAATTCCTACCTTGTACAGTTCAGTTCTGATGTCATCAAGTTCAGGAAGAAAATCCTGATAGAATTTGGAAGACCTGAATGCTGGTGCCTGGTTCCACTGAAGTCTGTCTGTCTGCCCATGGGCAAGCAACATAACCTCATGGTCTGCTTTCATCTGTGAAGTAAAAACCATGGCTGTCCAGCTTTCCTCACAGGGATGTTTTAAGGACAAGAGATCATGAACACTCTTGTGTTTTGTAAACTGAATGGCTATCAACATGAGGAAGTACTGGTGAGAAATCTTAGTAGAAATGTTTTCAGAGGTGATCTCTTCGGGATCCCAGAAATGCTGCTGGATTTTTAAAGAGCCAGGTGAACAGGAAGGTTGGACAATAAAAGATGAGCCAGGGACCAGATAATACAATGTGTACTTGGGCCTTAATGACGTGGATGAAGTAAAGCTTTCTGGACCTTCATCTGCCAATATGGCACGACAAAATGAGAAGAAACAGCTGCAGACATTCATTACATATCAGATCATGGAATGTATGAAGTTATGTATCTAGGAAAACTGGAAGTTGCAAAAAGTAAAGTGGAATGCATAAAGATCTATATCTTAGGCATTAGTGAGCTAAAATGAACAATTACAGGGTCATCTATACTTGGAATGACAAACTGAAGAGGAATGGCATTGCATTTGTTGTCAAAAAGAACATTTCAAGATCTATCCTGAGGTACAGTGCTGTCAGTGATAGGATAATATCCATGTATCTACAAGGAAGACCAGTTAATACTGGTTATTAATTAATAATTGTTACCAATACATAATATCCAAATTTATGCAAAGACAGATTTTTACCAACTTCTGTAGTCAAATTGGCAAAACATGAAAACGATGTATTGATAATTACTGGTGATTGGAATGTGAAAGTTGGAAACGGAAGCAGCATCAGTAGTGGGAAAATATATCTTTGGTGATAGAAATGACGCCAGAGATTGCAGGATACAATTTTGCAAGACCAAAGACTTGACAACCAAAACAGGAACCGTACATGTATGTGGACCTCACTAGATGTAATACACAGGAATCAAATAGGCTACATCTTGGAAAGAGACAGTAGAGAATCTCAGTATTATCATAACAAGACCAGAGGCTGTCGAACAGACCATCAGTTGCTTCTCTACAAGTTTGAAGTTGAAGAAAATTAAGTCCATGAACACCAAAATACAAAGTTGAGTATATCCTACATAAATTTAGATTTGACCCACTGAACACCAGTTTTGCTGAGGATAATTTTAAAATGACCAAAGACACACACGTTATGGGATGACATCGAGGACATCATAAATGAAGAAACTAAAAGGTTATTAAAAAAACACAGGAAAGGAAGAAAAGACCAAAATGGTTATCAAGAGACTGAAACTTGCTGTTGAATGGAGAGTAGCTAAAGCAAATGGAAGAAACGAAGTAAAAGAGCTGAACAGAAGATTTTAAAGTGTTGCAATGAAATATGCAAAGACCTGGAGTTAGACAATCAAAAGGGAAGAACATGCTGGGCGTTTCTCAAGCTGAATAAACTGAAGGAAAAGTTCCAGCTCATGGATACAATCAGTCCTAGCAACTGATACACCATGCAATCTGCAGCCTATATGACTGAGACTAGAAGAACTAGATGGTGCCCGGCTACCAATGTCAAACACTTGGAAAGGGATCTATGTAGGAGATCCTGGATAGAGAGGGAGAACAATGTGGACAAAACTCAAAATCATTTGGAGGGAAAAAAAAGGGGGGGACCAGGTTTGCTGGTGTGCTAGAGCCTGGTGGAGCCACTGAGACTATGGCCCCTAGCTGCCCTCCAGGTCTGGAATTGAACCCATACCTGTAGCTTCCAGCCAAGCAAAAGACAGGCATATGAGTTGAACATTTACCTGAGGTAGATAGACTCCTTGGAGAGAACAATCATGGGAGAAAGAAGGGCTGCTTATGCACAGGGAGACAGCTCAGGGAGCAGGAGGGCATTGAGGGATGGACACAGGGAAGAGGTAATTATCGGGAGGAAGTGGGAGAGGAGCTATTTATTCCATTGTAGTAAATTGTGGTTAGTGTCATGAGACAAAGTATATGTGAACTGCTGTATGGAAAGTGAATTTGCTCTGTAAATTTTCACCCAAATCACAATAAAAAAAAAAAAAAAAAGAAATTTGGAAGACAGATACCTGGCCAACTGACTAGAAGAGATCCAGATTTTTGTCCATTCCAAAGATGTTCCAACAGAATGTGGAGATTATCAAACCATATCATTAATATCACATGCAGTTGCTGAAGATAATTAAAAGATAGTTGCAGCCATACATTGACAGGGAACTGCCAGAAATTCAAGCCAGATTCAGAAGAGGATGTGGAATGAGGGATATCATTGCTGATGTCAGATGGATCTTAATGGAAAGCAAAGAATACCAGAAAATGTTGTGTTGGTTACCTAGTGCTGTTCTAAGAGAGGATACCACAAATGGGTGGTCTTAAACAAACGGGGATTTATTAAAGTTCAGGAGGCTGGAAGTCCGAGTTCAGAGTGCCAGCTCTAGGGACTGGTTGAAAGCCCCTCAACCTTGGGCTTCAGCTCTGCCTCTTAATCTTGGCCCACTGAAGCTAGACATGTCTCATCACTTAGGCAGCTCCTGGCTGCTGAGGCTAACAAGCTCAAGGTCAATAAGTAAGAAGGCACAGTTCCAATATTACCAAACAACATGGCAGGCCACTAGTTCAAGTCCAGAGACAGTCCCAAGAGCAGAAGGAAACATGGCAGGCTGCTAAATGAAGACTTGGCTATATGCAGGGTCCAAGCATGTCTAAAAGCTGCAGACTGTTCCCAAAGCTGCTTCTTATATACTGGAAGCAGACCACATCCCCTAAAGCAGCTATTGAGCTGCTCACGGCAGATTACACCATGGAGTTAATTACCAGTCTCATCATGGGGAGTAACTACGTCCAACTGCCCAGCCACTCAAAACCAGGCCCAGCCAAGCTGACACATTAACTACCACAGATGTTTACCTATGTTTTATTGACTATGCAAAGGCATTTGATTGTGTACCTTGTAGCAGTTCTGGATAACACTGCAAAGAAATTGCAGAACACTTAACTGTGCTCATGAGAAATGTGTACATAGACCAAGAGGCTGTTGTTTGAACAGAACAAGAGGATACTTGCAAAAATGTCAAGGAGGCCACATATTCTGACCTCCTCTAATCCCACAAGAGGAAGGCAGAATCACCATCAATAACGCAAGGCCAGACATGCTGCCTCCCTTCAGCCCTTTCACCAACCGTTCCTCCCAAAGCACCCACCACCTCTCCTCTGGGTTCGATAATTTGCTGCAAGTGGCCACACAGAACTCACAGATTATGGGGTTTATTAGGGAAGCACCAGGCTACAACTCAAGTTCAGGAAGAACGCTCAGTCTCTCTCCCAGCCCACCGTCCCTCAGCCAAGTCTCTCACAGTCTCTCTCCCAGCAGTGCATGTCCCTCAGTGTCTTACTCCACAATGCGTGTCTCTTGCGTCTCTTTCCAGGGCGCGTGTCTCTTTCAGCAGCACGTCTTCCTCCACCAGCAATCAGAGAGAGTTCTGCCTCTAGGAGGCCTCCTTTTGAGCCTGGCAGAGTGGTCAAACTAGCCAATCACAGCACCAGAACTCTAAGCACCTGAGAGAGAGTGGGAACCTCCCAGAACATTGTATTGTGCCACTCCCAAGAGAAATACTCCAGGTGGATAACATTTACAATCAGGAGTAGCTCAGTTGCTCATTCCACCACTGAGTTTACAATGACTTCTGGGTAGAAAAGCCATACAAAGTAATTTACTACACTGCAATACTGTATTGTTTAAATCAGGAAAAGTGTGTGTCAACATTGTATCTTTTCACTGTACTTTTTCAGTCTTTATGCTGAGCATATAATCCAAGAAGCTGGACTATCTGAAGAACAGTATGTAATTAATAGTATGTAATACACAATGACACAGCCTTGCTTGCTGAAAGTAAAGAGGACTTGAAGCACTACTGATGAAGATCAGAGACTATAGCCTTCAACATGGATTACACCTCAATATAAAACAAATCCTCATAACTGGACCAACAAGCAATATCATGATAAAACTGGAGAAAAGACTGCAGTTGTCAAGGATTTTATTTTACTTGGATCCAGTCAATGCCCATGGAAGCATAGTCAAGAAATCAAATGATGTGTTGCATTGGGCAAATCTGCTGTAAGAGACTTCTTTAAAGTGTTAAAGAGCAAAGATGGCACTTTGAAGACTAAGGTGTGTCTGACTCAAGCCAGTGACTTTTCAATAGCCTCATGTGCATGTGAGAGTGGGACTATGAAAAAGAGTATGACAAAAGAATAGATGGATTTGAGCTTGGTACCTGCAAAGAATATTGAATGTACCATAGATTTCTAGAAGAATGAAATCTGTCTTGGAGGAAGTACAGCTGGAATCCTTCTTAAAAGTGAGAATGGCCAGACTTTGTCCCTCATACTTTGATCATTTTATCAGGAGGGATCAATCTGTGGAGAAGGATATGCTTGGTAAAGTAGAGGGTCAGCGAAAAAGGGGAAGACTCTCAAGATGGAGTGGCACAGTGGCTGAGATGAACGGGCTCAGGCATAGCAAAGATTGTGAGGGTGGTACAGGATCCAAGCAGTGTCTTCCTCTTTTGTACACAGGGTTGTTACGAGTCAGAACTGACTCAATGGCAGTGCCTAACAACAGTAATTGGGGCCAAAAAGGCAATATAAAAGAGCAATATGAAATCACATGATCTTTACTAGAAGGGAGGGTCTATGATGATGTGCAGAGGAAAACAGTAGTTGGAGTACATCACAGAACTAGTGTTCAGATTGAGGTCCATAGTCACCTGCATCTCACTTCTGTTCCATGCTTGCTTAAATTCCTGTTCCTGGGCTGAAGCAATCTCTGCTTAAACCTAGGAATCAACTTTTTTATGACCCAGATGATCTTTAGGCAAGCTACAGTGTGAGGAATGCTAGTTTAGACAGAACCAAATGCATTCGTTGATCTCAGCACTTCTGTGGTGATATGTGAAGTGAATGAGCGTTGGGTTACCTCTAGGTTCTAATCCCAACTCATTTCTAAGCTGAATACCCTCAGACACATTACGTAATGTCTGAGTCAATTTCCTTCTGCCTCGTAGGATCATGGATGGTATGGATTCAATACATTCTGCCTGGCACTGAATACAGGCAGTCCCCAACTTACAACAGGGTTCCATTCCAATGACTCCATTGTAAGTCGGTTCTGATGTAAGTCAAATACCTCTCTCTTTTTTTTTTTTTTTAGTTTTCATTATTATTGCCTGCTACATGACAGTGCTTTTCTTGGGGGCGGGGGGCGGAGGGAGGGTCATCCCCAGCCCTTAACTAGGCTTATTCTGCTGATACCATTCTGTGAATCCTACAACGTGCATCTATGTAAGAGAAATAGTGAGATGTGTTTTTTCTCCCCCTTAACCCAAATTAGTATTGTCTACCCTCTAGATAGTGGTTTACCCTCCCTTCTCCACCCATCCCTAGTAACCATGAAAGAGTATTTCCTCATTCTGTGAAACTTTTATTGACTTTTTATAATAGTGGCCTCCTAAAGTATTTGCCCTTTTATGATAAACTAACTTCATTCAGCATAATGGGCTCTGAGTTGATCCATGTTGAGATGTTTCGCAGATTGACTATTTGAACAGTAAATCTCAACACTGATCATCTGCAAGGGAGCATTTGGGAATGATAACATCAGCAGATCACACGCTGCAACACAGTATGCAGTACCTGTGACTAATGACAAGATGCACCAAACCAACCAGAGGGTCCTAAGTGTGGTTCATTGTAATGCAAGTACATCATTAAGTCGGGGACGACCTGTATTCTTTCTGCAAGTCACTGCCATGATATTATGAAATGAATTGTGTCCCTCCACAATATATGTTGCATTCTTGGCCCCTGTACCTGTGGAAAGGAGCTCTGCTGGTGCCAGTGGTTAAAGCATTCAGCTGTTAACCAAAAGATTGGTGGTTTGAACCCATTAGCCACTCTGTAAGAGAAAGATGAGGCAGTCTGCTTCTATGAAGATTTACAGCCTTTCAAACCATATGAGGCCATTCTCTTCTCTCCTATGGCATCACTATGAGGCAGAATCAACCTGATGGCAGTAGGTTTGGGTGGTTTTTTTTTGTTGTTGTTAAGTACTTGTGGAGCTCTGGTAGCGTAGTGCCTAAGGCATTTGCCTGCTAACCACAAGGCTGGTGGTTCAAATCCACTAGCCACTCCTCAGAACGAAGATGGGGCAATCTACTTCCTTAGTGATATCGCCTTGGAAGACCAAGGAGGGGTCGCTGTGAGTCAGATCCGACTCGATGGCAGTGAGTTTGGTGTTTGGTTTGTTGGATGTGATCCTGTTTGGAAATAACGATTTCCTTCTGTTATGTTAAAGAGGCCATGCCAGGGTAGAGTGGTTCTTAACCTAATCACTTCTGATGATTAAAAGAGCAGAAGAGACACAGAGACACATGGTGGGGGAAAGGCAAAGGAGGACAAAGGGCGGGGACAGATGCGGCTACAGGGGCAGGTATGCCAAGGGCTGCTGCAGGCGCCGGATGCAGAATTAGACACAGGAGGGCCTCTCCAGAACCACCCGAGTCCACACATCAACCCTGAGGACTGACTGCACCAATTCCCATCCTCCAGGGCTGTTTCTTTCTGCGCTCTGACCTTCTCCTCCATGGAACACATCAGAGGTTCTTCCTGCAAACATCAAAGAATGGGCATTATGGAGCCGCCCACAGGAAGCATACGCACTAAACTTCCACAGAACCGTGATGCAAATGAAGACTCATTCCTAATTGTATCCTCATTTTCAGCCGTTCCTCTCCATCCTCAAGTGGAATTTAATTGAGCTGGGCTGAGATGCATAAGACATGGTCTCTAGCTCCAAGCGTGAACTGGGAGTGAACTTGGGAGCGGCTGGCTGTTACTTCCTCATTTCTAAGCCTGTTTAGTGGGGTGCAGACCTAGTAGATCTCTAAAGGTCCCTGTGAATTCTAACATTTAGATCTTACAAATCACCTTTCAACTTCCAACTGAGTCTCCCATTCATGTATGTGTGGTGCCGGGAGGGTGACCTTAACTGCTGCGCATCTAAATGCAGTGCAGAGGACATCTCCAGGTGAATAGCAGTGATGTCTTCAAAGCGGAACCAGAGAAAGACAGTGCAAGCAAAAGCAGAAAACCAGGGTATCAGTGGGGTTTGACTGAAAGATGAGAGAAGCTCCTATTGGATTTTTGTTATTATTTCATGTTTGATTAGACTTGTCTACGACAGTTTTTAGACAGATTCCAAGGGCAGCAAGGAAGCAAGGACACAGCCAGGTTAGAAAACAAGAAAAAGCATTAGTTCGTTGGTCAGTGGAGACCATCACTGGGTAAGAATGAGTCTAATCGCAGAAAATCAGCAGTGCCACAAACCAACACAGATGCTTTATCTCTGAGTAAGAGCAGACAGTCTAGGATTCATCTGAGAGCAGGCATTAGAGCCATCTGGCTCAAGGCTTTTCCTAAAGTGGATTGTGCCATGACTCCTGGTGGCTTCTTGGGGCTACAAAGAAGTGACCACTACCAAGCAAGATGAGGAACAGTTTTCAAGATGGTTACCTGGAGAAGGGAAAGGTACTCATCAAGGGCAGTGGTTCTCCAGCTTAAAAAAATAAATGTTCCCCCTCCTTTACATTAACTCGAAATTTTTAAATCTTAATTAAAAAATAAATATGACCATAAATAGTTAGTTTTGCTAAGTTTAGACTATGCTTACTGCAACTTCTCTGTAAAGGAATGAGAATAAGGTGCTGACTTTGGGGGAGAGTGCAGGCCAGACGGACTCCCATAGGATGACAGAGCTGAAGAAGGTAGAGGCTAGCAGTGCTTTTAGGGGCGAGCTGAGGCTGCAGCTTGTGGGAAAAACGGTTATCTTCAACACTGTCCTTCTGTATCCACACTATATAACCAGCCACAGCCTGAGAAAAACTGTTGTCATAGTCTGTCTCCTGTCTCAGGGTGGATGGAATTCTAGGGAACAGTGCCAGAAGGAAAAGGCTGCAAGCCTCACAACAGAAAATACACATTTATTATAAAATGACGCTTATTTCATGATGAGAATAGAAAATTAACCCTATCAGCTACTAAAAGGGTTTTGGAGCTTAGTCTCTGAGGAGGTGCTTGGTCTCCGAGGAATGGGCTGAGAGGCTTTTGCAGCACTCGGGGAGCATGCCTTGGTGAGGCGCTCTGTGCGCGTGCAGAAAGCACGTCCCAGGAGTGTGTGGCTTGGTTTCTGCTGGGAGCCCCCGGAGCCTAGGTGGTTCACACAAGATGTTCTGGCCACGACGGTCAAAGAGGAGAACTGAAGGTCAGCAGGGACTTGGTTCTGAGAAGGGCCAGGATGAGGTAACCGTGCCCCTCCCTAGGCCGGAGTATAGAAGAGTCGGCTGAAGGTCCGGGTTTAGACGATGCCCAACGGCTTTATACTCAGTCTGCTGCCGAAATATCTGCTGAGGAAAAGCTGTAACCTTTCCCAGGACACTGCTGACCCATCAGTTCCCACTGATGTTGCTAACGGACCAGAAGTATGTGGGGTCAGCCCATCAAGGCTGCTGGCTGAAATCTTTGTGCTTCAAATCCTGTCCATACTGATGGCAGAAAGAAAGAGACAAAGAAAATGTTAAAAGCCCAGTGAACTGTTTGTTCTAAATTTTGGCCCCCAAGAACATCTTCCTTGAGCAGGTAACTATCTACCTAAGTGAGAAAGGAAGTCCCATAGACATTCTTTGCCCCTTAAAAGCCTTCTAGACCCCTCGGGCTTGAGAAGTACAGTGAATCCCTGTCTGGGATGGGATGGGAACTCAACCCTCAGGTGACAGAAGTGGCCCCTCAGCAGCAGTACCTGGAGAAAGCGGCTAGGGTGAGCACCTCGAGTAGCAGCTCTGAGCCACAGAAGAAGAGCAAGATCCCATTCACGATGGCTTCCAGGCGGAGCACGTAAGTCTGCAGCAGCAGGTAGTAGGAGGCCATCATGGCGGATGGGAAGGTCAAGGCCACACTAATACCAAGGGGCATCTTTCGTTGGCAGAGGTTTCCCTTCATACCTGTTAGATACAGCCCTTGGAGTTACCTCATCTGAGAGGAAAAGTGGGTGAAGACGTGAGGGATGGTGAGGAAGAGAAAAATTATCCCTAATGGGGATGTGATTTATAAATGGGGCCCCCACTGTACTAAATTAGAGGCACTGGGGGAGTTACAGGATTGGAATCATTCCCTCCAAACATCCTGCTTCCAGTCTGGCTCCCGCTCACGGGAAAATGGGGTCTATTTAGGGAAAAACAATCTTTTTAATTATAAAAACCATACATAATCATTGACAAAACTTCATAGAAAGTAGTTTTAGAAAATACAGATCATGAAAGACCCTCATGATTCCAAGCCCGGGAGTCATTATTACAGAACAATGCATATTGTTCCAAGTTTTGTATGCATATACTCACATACTACTATTTATTATTATTAAAATAGAACCGTACTCATAATACTGTTTTGCAAATTAATTTTTCCCATTTAACAAAGTTAGACATCTTTCCACACACATAACTACTTCATTCTTTTTTAATGACTATGTACAGTTCCATTCAACCAACAGCAGCATTTATTTAATCCCATACTGATAGATATACAGTTGTTTTGAACGTTTTGATGTTACAAGATGTATAATAAACACTCTCATAGAGATACTGGTGGTCTAGAATTATTCTTACCGAAATCGCCTATTTAGTGCCCCTACCAATTTTCAAAGCTAGGTCGTCTTTCCCAGTGATTCACATGAGCATTCGGGATCCTTTGTCATATGTGCTACAAGTATTTTCTCAGTTTATGCTTTACAATTGTTTTTCAGGGATGAAATACTTTAAATACTGAGGAATTTGCTCTCTTTCTGGGGACATAATACTTGTCCTGAAGAGAAGGATCTTAGTGTTCATCTGGACCTGGTGTTACAACTGTGTCTGTTCTCCCAAAGCCAGCCATTAAGAGCAACCTGGCACCCCTGCAGCAATTGAGCAGTTAAGAAAGAATTATCTACTGTCTCACACTGCTGCCTACCTCTAGCCCTACAGAGAAAGACAGGCAAACTTGATCCAAACTAAAGGCAGCCTGAACTGTAGAGAAGGAGTAATGGGATCTATCACCAGATCCAATCTCTGGCTGTGAGCTTAGATTATATACTTTTTCCTATTAATCAAGTTACAGATACCAACTCGTCCCATAAGGAATGGAAATATTCTCTGGACAACACTCACCAAAAAACAGTCGAATAATTTCAATTCCAAGATAGAGGAGGAGCATCACCACATCCAGTACTAGGTTGGCTGTTGGATATGGCAGCAGGAGACCTGCCAATACAAAGCCAGAGTTTATAAACAGTACCTAACAGCACCCACAAGGACTCCCACGTACTTGGAAATAACCAGAGCATGAGTCTTATCGGCTTTCCATGAAGTAGTTGTGAGATGTGGGCATTATTACGGCTGCGAGGCACTAGTATGACTATGTCAGAGGAAGCTCATTACAGGGTTTGATTCCAAAAGGCTGGCTGCAGCATGTACTCTCCAAAATGAACTGATGGAACAGGTCCACAGGCTGCTGGGCCCGTTCTGAGGGTCACCAGTGGACTTAGAGGGGAGTTCAGCAGAGAAGTGATGGGGGGAGAGTCAGAATGGACATGCCCCCTCATTTCCCAAGCTCAAGAAATTCTTGCTCAGGGGCTTCCTACTGAGTCATTCTCAAGGAAGCCAAAGGATCAAGAGGTGCTTGGGGAAGGAGGTGAAAAGTAAGATTCTGGGTAGGAGTTGGCTCTGTTCTGGGCTGAAGTAGAAAAGGGGTGTAAGGGGTGTTGTGGCCGGAGTGGTCAAGCTCCCAGCCTTACCTTTATACAGAAAAATGAGGAGTTCCAGCAGGAAATAGGTGGCATAATACCACCCGTTCAAAAAGAAGAGGATTTCCAGGGTTGTGGAGGACAGGCGTTTACCTGAAAGATGAGCACACAGGAGGGTGGGCGGGGAACAGCGCCATCTCTGTTCCCTACCTGGCTCTGTGTCTAACTTGGAAAACAAAAGGCGCTCGCTGCTCAAGCACCACTTGGAGACTTCTGATTGCTGGTAATGAGATGGCGAGGAACTGGGCTGGGTGGGAGGGCGCTTCCTTTACTCCCCTCTTCTTCCCGGAATCACCGCCGAACTCAAGCGTTTTTGGTTTCGGGAGTGAAAGCTAAGAGAAAACTCAGAGAGTACAATAGCTGAGAGGTGCCTCTTAAGATCTAATCCCGTCACTACTCGGGAGGAGAACCTGGGGCGCACAGACCAGCACTGGCCCGTTCAAGGTCACAGCAGGGAGCGGGCCAGCCAAAGACCTGGGGTATAGAGACCCGCACCTTGATGCCTTCGGGTGGGTGTGGCTGCGAAAGCCCGCTTTGGACCTGAAGAGCGACGTCCTTAACACTCTACAACAGAGGGTCGAGCTCTGGGAGAGAAAGGCAGGACAGGGGCCCGGAAGGGACAGGGGCCAGCGACTCACACACCTCCGGGATCTCACCTCGCGGAGCCATCGCCAGTCCCCATGGAAACTGCGTACGCGGCAACAGCCGCTCCTGGAGCAGCGAGGCGCTACCGGAAGCCGAGACTGAGCGGCCCGGGCCGCTTCCTCCGCCGGCCCGCCGTACTCTATGGTTTATTTGGGGCGGGGTGGCTCGGTGAGATCTGCGCACGCGCCGGGAGCATCGAGACCTGTGGGCTGAGTTAAGCAAGCTCACGAGGACCGCGATCGCAGGCGAAGCCGTCGTCCACAGGGCCGAGGGCCAGGGGCAATGATCGACCCCTTCCTGCTCGGCCTACGGTGCATTAGGCACAAGGAAGCAGTTGGGACACTGTGGCCAGAGGACTGGCAAATAGTCTCTCTAGCCCCACAGTTCTCTTTTCTAATAAAGATGGTTGTGTTCGTGCAATAGTGACAGGGTGTAACTGTAGCTGCGACAGAGACTGTATGGCCCTTCACAGAAGTTTGCCAACCCTTGCTCTAAAGCATGGCTGAACAACGGATTTCATAGAGTAACTCTATGGTATGGGAGATGGATTGAATTAATGACCCAATTCTTGCCATGAAACATTGGAATGCTTTCCCACTGACTCTGGGCTCAGCCTAGTTTTGATTAAAGGGAGGTTAACACGCAAACAGAGGCCAGCTCAGTCAGCTGGAAGATGAGGCACATGAACCAGAGCACAGTCGTTCCAGCTGAGGCCATCCTAGATGAACCAACAGCCAAAGGATCCCAAGGTATGTGAAAGCTTGCCTTAGTGCCCCCAGACCACGAGCAAGCCCAGCTGAACCTGAAGACTCAAAAGCCAAAACACTGTTTCCTGCTGTATGTCACTCAAGTTTGGTGGTGGCTCGTTACACATTTATTCTGGCAACAGAAAATGGATGCTATGGGCATAGGAATTTTAAAGATCACTCTTGAAAGGCCCATTTTTACCTTCTGAAGATTTCTGATACAGAGGGAGAGTCTGAACCAAGCACACGTCTGGAACTCCAGGGGTAGAAGGGGGGCACTGGATTACATGCTGAGTGTGTCAAAATCACCGCGTACTTAGAACGGGGCTCACTAAATATCTGCATTTGATTGTGGCACAATCTGCCCACTGAGTCAAGTAGAGATGGTGAGGCTAGGGTTTGGCACACATGAGACTGACTCCACCGTTTATGGAAAAAAACCATTTATTTCCTATTTAGAAAATGTAAAAAAAAAAAAAGAGCCTTGGGTATAAATTCTAAGTGTCTAAGGTGTCATCAGTCAAGAGCACATGAATAGCCCTCTTTCCACCTTCAGTCTTTACGTGTGGGGCAAGGAAAGGAGGCACCAGGAGGCACTCCTGTTCCAACCTCAACAAAAAGAGCCACAGAGCTCCATGGGACTCCAGGGTCGGAGGAGTGGATGGGACAGAGCAGGAAAGGAAGGGGGATCCAGGTGAGGCAGGAGGGGATCCAGGAACATACACTGCAGCCTGTACTGGGGACACTTTAATGTGTACGAGGGGGGTTTCCCTTCAGCATCACCTGACACGCTGGCCTGAGCTGTCCTGAGAAGGCCAACCTCCTTCCTCATGCACAGGGCTGGCCATCCTTTCAGAGCAGCAAATGTGGCTCCCATCAGGAGGGAAAGCATCCGTCAGTGAGACAAGAGGAGGTCACCTTCGGCCTTGCAGGAACTCCTTGCGCAGCCACAGGGAGTCCTGGTAGAAACGAGGGTCTCCCAGCCTCACAGCTGTCCGCTTGTAGAAGTAACAGTATAGCACTGCCGCTAAGGGTAACGCACAGAAAAGAAGCGAGGGGCCTAAGGATCCATTTCAGGGTGAGAGCAGGTCCTACAGAGGCTGTGGGGCCCTGCCCCACGATTTCCCACTGTCCCCCAGCGAGGGCAGAAACTACTCCTGCTCATGGCATCAGTGCCGACAGGGCAGCCCCAAAAATCCCATCCAGCTGTGAGGGGGGCAAGCCGGGGCCAGGGCCCTCCCTGCCAGACCACCGCAGGGATCAAGGTCAGGCCTGACGTTGGTCTGGTCCTTACCTAGTCTCTGAAATACAAAGAGCGTTTGAAGTCCATCTGTCCAGACGAAACGGTTGGAGTTTTTCCAGCGTAAGTTCTGAAGGCGATATGAAGGCAGGGAAGGTCAGTGGCCAGGTAAGACCCAAACCTCTCTCATTTGGTTAGCTGCAGAAAGCCCACATGGTTAAAACCATGCTCATCTTGCCCTCCTCTTTGTACACTCACCAAGGAGTGTTTCTCAAAGGAGATCCAAGCTCCTTTTTATGCTGCAGAGGGAATCTCCTTTTAATCCTAAGGGAGGAAGTTTGAACTAAGCAATTTATCCCCTTTCGTTTGTCAGCTTGTGCCAAGGAGACATGATTCTCAGCTCAGCCTTGAAAATCTCAGGGTCAGCTCCTGTCAGATAAAGGCTGAGTGCACGCAAGTCTGATCAGAGTACCAGCCTTACGGCACGAAGCCAGGAACTGGAGCTGAGACACTCCTCTTCAGGTACCACCTGGAGCCTGCAGCACTGCCCTACTTCCTTTCTGTGAGCCCGACTCTCGTGTGCAGGCACAAGGGCAACTCAGCAGGGCTCAGTGGAGAAGGTGACTTCAGAAAAAAAGCGACTAGGTCTTAAGGTGCACCTCACCCAAGCCACTGTGTTTTCAGTCACCTCATACACTTGTGAAATCTGGACAATGAATAAGACCGACCAAAGAAGAGTTGATGCCTTTGAATTGCAGTGCTGGCAAAGATACTGAAAATACTATGGACGGCCAGTAGAGTGAACGAATCCACCCCAGAAAAGGTGCGGTCGGAACGCTCCTTAGAAACGAGAATGGCCAGACTTTGTTTCACCTACTTGGGCTGTGTGGTCAGAGGGACCAGTCCCTGGAGAAGGATATCATGCTTGGTAAAGTAAAGGGTCAGCGACAAAGGAGAAAACCCACCACAGGATGGATTGACACAGTGGCTGCGATGATGGGCTCAGGCATAATAAGGATTGTGAAGATGCCCTCAGCATCTCCCTCCATGGAGGGAGTGTTTGATTCTGTTGTACAAAGGGTTGCTATGAGTCAGAGCTGAGTCGATGGCACCTAACAAGAAGTTTTGAAGTGTTCCATCAAAATGAGAAACAGATGAGAGACTCAAAGAGAATTTGTGAGGCAGAAGAAATCTGAAACGATGAAAACTGGCTCTGACCTGAATGAAGCTGATGCTGGGCCAGAGGCTGGTCCTCCTCGTGTAAGTGACAGGGACTAGGCAGAGGGCTCGAAGCACGAGAAAGCAAGCAGCCCTCTTACGTGGCCAGTTTCCGGCCACTCCCTGCCTGTCGCACTAGTCATGGGACACTGATGCCTAATGCTCAGAATTAGCACTCACATACCCTAACAGCCAGTGAGACAGATGCAACTTCCTCTTTTAGTCCTGGTGGGCAAAGGCGGACTGAATGTTTAAGAAATGTCCTTGACCCTTGGATAAGGCTGTCCTTCGACACATAATGTTGGGCAAAAAAAACGTGCCTCAAGAAACCTGGGTCTAGCTCCAGCCCTGGCCACTTTCATCTCTCCTGTTTCCCGTGCAGGATTCTGTGAGAGGTGAAAGAAGCATTCATCTCCTAGGATGCTTTCAGTTAGGCTGGGTTCCCAGAGGAAAGGGACTGCCAGCCCTTTCAGGATCCAGCATTCACAGCTGCACTCTTACCATTACCCAGACGTGGAGGGAGATGCTGAGGGCAAAGTACACAGCTGTCAGGATGATGGTGCCTTTGAACTTATGGAACAGGAGGTTGACCAGGCCGGCCTGGAAGACGAAGGTGTTGAAGAACATGAGGAAGATGATGATGATGTTGAAGAGGATTGCAATATCCTGGATGCTGCAGACACACAAAACGAGACACACCCAAATGGAGGTCTAGGTGAGGACCCAGAGCAGGCCCTAAATCCTAGGGGACATCACACAGTCTGTCCTTTCCTTGTGACAGTCATCTGAAATCCCCTAGAGACAGCGTGGGCTTTGGGACCCAAATGCCATCAACTACAACTACTTGCTATCCCCATCAATTGAACTGCAGTCCACAGACAAGGCTTTCTTGCTCTGACACTCTTAACTCCATGTACCTTCTACGTACTTCTGAGGAGAAGCTAGTCTCCTCCCTATTGCTCTCTGACAAACGCCAGCCTGTCACATAACCTGATCCCATCAGTTTCATCTAGCAAGACTACAATGCCTTTTTCCCTGATCTCTAAATGGCTGCCTCCAGAATGCCAAACACGTTTCAGTCCAAATGTCCCCTCTCTTCACAGCTTTCCTTTAACCACATTACCTAAAGTAGCCCTGACCTCCTCACCCCAGCTCCTTCATGCCCACTACATAACATCTCTCCCATTTGAACTGACCATGTTTTGTTCATGTACTCATTGTCTCTCTCCACCAGAATCTAAACCTCACAAGAGCAAGAACTTGTTGGGTTTACCCTGCAACCAGGACAGTGTCTGTAGGCTGAAGAGTACTTATTGAATAAAGGGAGGTCATGTCCAAGACTGTGGCTTTCACTTTAGAAACTGAACTCCGACTCTAGAAATCTTGATGCCAACAGTTTCAGTCTCATGGGATTCAGACTTTGACTGCCCTTTTTTTAGCCTGCCAAGTTGTAATCCCCTTTCAAGGTGATGGAAGATAATACTTCTACTCACAGATGGGGAGAGTGATAGAGTCAGCAGTCTGTCCCTCACCTGCTCTGTGAACTACTGCCCTTCCCCCAGCCCTTGTTCAAAGGATATAAACAGGATCTGTGACCAGGTCATGAACCATGGAGTGTCCCGAATGATGTTGAATTTCATCACCCCTGCTATTTCTCTGTAATGCCTGCAAAATGCTAAGTCATGGCTGTCACGCCTCTGCACTGCGTGGGTTCAGCTTTCCACACATGCCCACTTAACTCACATGAAGAGCACCAGCTGGATGACAGGAGCCTTTCGGAGGAGCTCCGAGAAGGAATTGACAAAGAGGTCACAGGACAGAAGCAGGAACTGCAGAGAGAGCACCAGGCTGTAGTTACTGGTCTGGAGCATCTTCCTCTGGCTCTCTGGGGCCTCCAAGGGCACATTCCACGGTTTTCCAGACAAGGCACCGATCTCTCCCCAGCACTGAGGGAGAGGCGTTGAGTTCCTCCAAATCAGACTGTTTCAGGCAAGGCCTGCTGGGCCAACAAGAAAGGAAAGCTTAGAGATACATTCATACCAAACCCACTGCTGCGGAGTCCATTCCAACTCATAGTGACCCTCTAAGACAGAGTGGTGCTGCCCCCTACGGTTTCCAAGACTGTAATCTTGATGGAAGCCCACTGCCACATCTTTTTCCCATGGAGTGAAGCAGTTGGGTTTCTGCTGACCTTTTGGTTTGTAGCTGAGCTCTTTAACCACTGTGCTACCAGGGCTCCTTACATTAATACAGTAAATACTTATTGGAGATCTACTATGTGCCAAGCACCATGCTAGGTGCTTGGAATGCAAACAACAACAACAGCCTAACTATCAGTTCTCGAGACACTCACCCACAAACCTTTCTCCAAGCCTAGAACTTTTTAAACCCAAAGCTCTTAAGTTCAAAGGAATCTAGGGAAACAACAGAGAAAAATAACTGTGGGGCAGATAATAATGAAAATATGCATAAAAATAGCAACACACCCTCATATATACAGCACTTACAATGTGCCAGGGGCTGTTCTAAGCACTAGCATTATTTAAGCCTCACAATAACCTCATGAAGGAAACTGAGGCCCAAAGAGGTAAAATAATTTGTCCATGGTCACACAGCTAGTAAGTGGCAGAGCTGGGATTCAGCTCTAGGCAGTCTGGGCCCAGAGACTGTGCTCTTCACCACTGCACTGCGCTGCCTCCCATATTACCGACAGGCTGAGGAGTAAGCAAACCGAACTCACTGTCGTTGAGTCGGATCCAACTCATAGTGACCCCTCCTTGGGTTTCTGAGGGGTCATCACTACAGAAGTAGATTGCCCAACCTTCCTTCTGAGGAGCGCCTGGCGGGTTTGAACCACCAGCCTTCTCATTACCAGTCAAGTGCCTTAGGCACTACCCCACCAGAGCTCCTGATGAGTAACTAGGGGGCAAAAACATTGGCATAGGAGAAGGAAGTGGGAAGTGGTGTAAGCAGAAAAAGCTGAAATACTACTCTCCAGTTAATCTTTCAGGTTATAGCAGCAACAGAGTGATAGCAGGTAAAGGGACCTGATCCTTTATTGTCTTATTTTCCAAGGTCTACAAAGTATGGGGGGAGCTCTGGTGGCACAGTGCCTAAGGCATGTGGCTGCTAACCAGAAGCCTGGTGGTTCAAACCCACAGGCCACTCCTCGGAAGGAAGATCGGGCAATCCACTGCCGTAGAGATACTGCCTCAGAAACCCAAGGAGGGGTCGCTATGAGTCGGGTTGGACTCAACGGCACATAACAACAAACAAAAACAACATGTACCAAAAATAAAAATCAAGCCAAACTCACTGCCACTGAGTCAATTCTGACTCATGACGACCCCAACTGGGTTTCCAAGACTGTAAATCTTTATGGAAGCAGATTACCTTATCTTTCCAACCGCTGACCTTTTGGTTAGCAGCCAAACGCTTTAACCACTCCACCACCAAAGCTCCTTTCACCTATGTTTCAGGCACCATATATAACTTGTCAACCAGACAATTCCATTTACTCCTCACAATTCTACAGGGAAAACGCAGGGTTGGAGAGTTCAACTAATTCCCCCCGGAATTAGCTGAACAGCGGAACAGCTCGCAAATGAGCGAAGCCAGACTTCATAACCAAGTCGGCCGCCAAAGCCCGCGCACTTGACCACTAACTTCACCGGTCACCAGAGGGCTGTTGGGAGGATTCGCTATAAACACATGCACATCGCCATGCCCTAGTGAAGGGTGACGACCTCTTCCAGTTTAGGGCAGTGGGGATTCACAAAGTAACGAAAGGCTCTTCAGTTCGTCTGTTCACTGCTGCGTTCCCTTTGTCTCCTGAGCAGTCGTCCTCACCCTTCCCAGTCAATTTAAAGATGCGGTTGCTTTGGCATAAATAAATAAAGCCACCAACAACAAAAAACCTGACTTGGGATCACTTTACCCACTCCTCATTCACCCCTCTCACCTCAAAGAGCCATCGCTGGTTGTCATGGGGACACGGTCCTGGCTTCCGGAAACCAGTTTTAAATCCCGGAAGTAGATGGCGGACGCCGGCTCCGTGTACGCCGTTCTACCTGTTGTCATCGGTTTTCTCTCCCGGCTCTATGGCCAGCCCGTCGCCATGTTTGGACCTTCGCTGTCCCCCCGCCCAGCGTTGCTGCTTGCTGACCAGGGCTCCCCGCCCACGCCGAGCGCGGCTTGAAGGCCGGTGGCTGCCAGGAGGCTTTACGTCGGCCCCCAAATTTCCGCTCCCAGGGAATGGGGGCTGGGGGACCGGCAGGACCGTCGCGGCGTTCCTGGTTCCTGGAACCTCGGACTTGGGGAAGAAATGCCGGTGGAGAAACGGGATCGGGGTTGGGGGAGAAGGAGAGCACTTTGGCGCGCCGGCCTCCGACATCCCGGGGCTTAGACTTCATTTCCCAGGCGGTCTTGCGCAGGAACGGAAGTATTGAGAAGCTATAAGAGGGCGGGGCGGCGCCCAGTCGGTGCCGCGGTTCTTGAGAGCTTCGGACTTCTGTTTCCTAGAAGCTCTGGAGGTGGCAGCGCCGGGTGGGAGGAAGCTGATCTCGGAGACCCTGGCTTTCCTACTTCCCAGTGTGGTTCAGGAGTAAGAAAGAACCGGGCTGGGAGTTTAAGGACTTGGCTCTCGTATTATCCTGCTGCTACCTCGCTTTGCGCTGTCAAAACCCCTCGCTCGGCTTGATTTTCTCTACTAGGAAATGGGCACCGTTTTCCGTGCCCTTCTTCCCCCGGTGGTGGTTATAAAGGCACGAAAGCCAACAGGCGGAGCCTCCCGCCCTCAGTCATTCTAGGTTAGTTGGGACCAAGGGCCAGAAAGAGGAGTCAAGAATCAGCTCCTCAATTGCTACAACGGTTCTTCCGTCATCAGAGCCGGACTTGAACACGGTCTGAAGGGCGAGTGCGCAGTCGCTCTGGTGTTGACGCGCTTATCTCGCTCCTGGCTAAAATTTGGGCCTCCTCACCCCTGAGTCCTGACTTCCTCACCTGAATTCACAGAAAGCTGCTTTTGGAAGTGAGGGATCCTGGGAGCTGAAGGGAAGTGGACTTGGATCCCTGCAGCGGCTCCGCCCTTCACTTTGGGCCCCAGTGTTTTTGAACCCTAAGGGTTTAGGACTTGAACTCCACTTTTGGTTTTTAGGATTCCTGATGTTACCTCATGCGTTTGAGAAGGGTGAGGCACAAGGAACTGTCTGAGGTAAAGACCGTTGTAAGAGTGTGGGCAGCCTTTTTCTAAGACTAAACGCCAAACGGGAAGTGCCCACTTCTTACCCTGAACCTGACTTGTTACAGCTCAGCCTGGCTGAATCCTTTCTACCAAGGGACTGAGGAGAGAATTAAGTCGTAGAGGAGACTTACTAGATGAGGATGGACAAACTACAATCCACAGGTCAAGTCTTGCTTGCCTGGATAGTATTTGCATTTTCAAATGACTGGAAAACCCAAAAGAAGATTTTGTGACACATGAAAATTATATCCGTTTCATATTTCAGTGTCTTTTAAATAAAATTTCATTGGAACACAGCCATGCTCGTGTGTCTATGGCTGTGTTTGCACTGCATTAGCAGAATTGATGACACAGTTGTGACAGAGACTGTACGGCTTGCAAAACCTGAAATACTGTCTGGCGCCTTCTTTGTAGAAGAATTTGCCGACCCCTGCCTCAGAATGGGGCTTTACCAAACGAGGGCCAAACAGGAGACCACGCTGTGGTGCACATTCTGACATCGTAACCCAGCTTCCTCTCTTAGAATAAATGAGAGGGTATTTGTAGCTTTCGCCTCGCAATGTTGCCTGCAATCACTCTTCCTATTTTCTCTGCTTTTGTTTTTATTTCAGACAAAAGGAGGGCTTATCTGTGTACTTTGAGCACAATAACCACCCCTGAGCCCTCTGTCAGGAAATTCCCCATTATCTATTCCAAGTCTGTCCCAGAGTAATCCAGGCTCTTCCCGTGATCACCTCTTCTATAGGTGGCTACAGTCCTTAGGAGGCTATATTTACTTTCTTTTGTCTCTGGTGACCTGAAGCTTCTTCCACGCTTGTGGGAATTGAGGGGACAGCTCTGAGGCTGGATACACATCTGCGAGGCCGGTACTTGGGGCCCAAAGCTTCTAGGAAGCTAGTGGCATGACTGTCTTGTGCCTGCCTCATGGGAGCTTTCTTTCTCAGGGATTCCTGTCAACGTGGATCATCTTGGGAGAGCTCAGCATCTGTTCTGGGTTTAGGTGAGCACATGGCCTGGGGAGAGCTGATGTGGCACGTGGTCAGAGCCACTGAAAAGCCTGGGCACAGGGGCCACAAGCTTCAGATTTCTGTCAGGCTGCAGATTTAGTTAGGGTGACAGGCTACAACAACAACTAAGAAGCATGAATACTTTACTCTCACTATGGCTTTTCACGGAGCTCTGGTGGCATAGTGGGTTAGGTATTTGGCTGCTAACCAGCAGGTCAGCAGTTCAAACCCACCAGCTCCTCTGCAGAAGGAAGATGGGTCAGTCTGCTTCTGTAAAAGATTTACAGCCTCAGAAACCCAATGGGGGTCAGAATTGACTCGATGGTAGTGAATTTATGGCCTTTCATGCATTTTCATGCCAAATATTTGAAACTCTTGCTCATTTACTGGGTCCTAGTTTTAACTGGGAGCTCTGGTAGCATAGTGCCTAAGGCACTTGACTGCTAACCAGAAGGTTGGCGGTTCAAACCCACCAGCCACTCCTCAGAAGGAAGATGGGGCAATCTACTTCCATGGTGATATCACCTCAGAAACCCAAGGAGGGGTTGCTGTGAGTCAGCTCCAACTCGACAGCAGTGAGTTTGGTTTTGGGTTTGTTGTTGTTGTTGTTATTTGCTGTCGAGTCGGCCCCGACTCATAGCGACCCCTCCTTGGGTTTCCGAGGCAGTATCACTACGGAAGTAGGATTGCCCAATCTTCCTTCCGAGGAGTGGCTGGTGGGTTTGAACCGCCAGCCTTCTGGTTAGCAGTCAAGTGCCTTAGCCACTAAGCTACCAGAGCTCCTGGTTTTGGGTTTAGTGTTAGTTAATTGATCTTTCTGAGCCTTGTTGTCCTTATCTGTGAGATGGGATGATACCTCACAGGGTTGCCAAGAGGGGTCCATGGGAGAATAGTAAGGTAGTGCAGAGTCCATTCATGACCGGTTCTTCTCAGTCACCCCTGTGTGTTACGGAGTACCACTGCTCCACAGGGTTGTCTTGGCTGTGACCTTTACAGAAGCAGGTCATCAGGCCTTCCTTTCATGGAAACGCTGGGTGGGTTCAAACCGCCAACCATCCGCTTAGCAGTTGGTCGCAAAGCACTCACACACCCCCCAGGCTCCTTGTTCATCACTGGTGTCTAACTAGTTCTATAAATATTATTATGTGTTTCTTCCAGATGAGAAGACTGAGTCCTCCAAGTGTTGAGTGAGCTGCTCAAGGTGCAGCCGTTAACAAGAATTGGCACCTGGGCCTCTATTCTTTCAGCCTGCCACTGGGTTTAAAGGTGAGGAACTAAGTATCTTACCTCCTTGGGAGTTATTGGATATTTTGGGGCCTCCTATTTTTTTCTCTTAGGAGGTCTGTTGGCACAGTTGTTAAAGCATTTGGCTGCAGTTTGAACCCACCAGCCTGTCTGTGGGAGAAAGATGAGGCAGTCTGCTTCTGTAAAGATTTACAGCCTTGGAAACCTAGAGGGCAGTTCCACTCTGTCCTAACAGGTCACTGTGCGTGGTTTTGGGTTTGGTTTTCTGCTTGTGGTTCTGACTTAAGAGCCCTCCAGGGCAGGAAGCCACATTGTTGCCTTCATGATATGAGGGCATGGGGCCGGGTGACAGCCTCGAGGAATGGGCCCATGCTGCCTACACATTAGCTGGAAGTGAGGGTGGTCCGGTGACTCCGCACACTTGCCCGCCAACCCCCACGCCCAGTTGCGTTGCTTTTAAGAGCAGCTGCTCAGGGGCCGTGCCTGGCCCAGAGTTGGCCTCTGAGTTTATCAGCTGTGCGTGGAAATCTCAGAATAAACCTCTTGCTTTCTGGACCATGAGTTCTCGCTTCCTCCTTTCTCTTCTGGACTTTCCACAGAGGAAGAGAAAGCGGAAGCCTCCGGCCTGGGACAGCTGAAGGGTATCACCCAGTTCAGCACCAAGTGTCCGGCCTCTGGAGTAAAGGCCTAATCTTACCTCCTAAGAGGGCTGGTCCCCACCGTCCCCCCTCTGGGGAGGAGAGTGTTTCTGTAGAAGCGGGAGCCTGTGGGGCTTCCTTCTGGCTAGCCTGGAGTGTTGTGCATGCTCCGTTCGCATGGGGATGTTGCTTCCTTATGGTGGAACCGAGGGCTGGAGCATTTGTGTGATCCAGGCTGGGTTTTGATTCCTGTCCTTCCTTTCTTTCAGATGGCCAGGCCTCCTGGTAGGGTATGGGGAAGTGCTGCTTTACCTTCAGGTTCTTTAAAACCAGAACCAACCTTCCCTAATCCTGGGAGGGGTGCTAGTTCTGGGCTCTAGGCCCAGAGTGCTGGCATCTACACAGCACAGGTGCTCTCCAGGACCAGCCCCAAGCTGGAGCTTGCTGTGCTGTGCACGTGCATGGCCAAGTGCTGGGTGGGGCTTGCTCACGGTCTGTGACCAGAGATCTGGCCTGCCCAGCCACCAAGGCCTCACCCGGTGGTGCCCAGGCTGATGGCAGGGGAACTGAAGCAAAAAGCACCCACCCCACAGGCCAAGAGTGAGGTCCGTGCTGCCTCCTTCAGCCAGTGTGTGGGGTGCAGCCAAGCCGGCAGGGACAGGTGACTCCCTCCTGTCTCCTAGAAGTGCGAGACCAGAATGGTTGTGGGACGGTTTTACCTGTCCTGCCTGGCATTGGGCTCCCTGGGCTCGCTCTGCATCCTCTTCACCATCTACTGGATGCAGTACTGGCGCGGTGGCTTCGCCTGGGACGGCAGCAAGCTCATGTTCAACTGGCACCCGGTGCTCATGGTTGCTGGCATGGTGGTGTTCTACGGAGCTGGTGAGTAAGCAGTTGGCATTTCATGGCTCAGGCCTGGGCCAGTACGTCCCTTCTCCAGGGCTGGCCTTCATCGCTGTTGGACTTAAGACTTCAGGGGTGGGGTGGGGTGGGCTGTCCTGTCACTAGGCCTGCATGTCATTTGGGGGACAAGTGGTGAGAGGGGAGCATCTGAGCAGGGCAGTTTCATGAGTGCTCTAGGGCAAGTTCAGCAAACCTTCTCTGTCAAGGGCCAGACAGTAAACATGTGAGGCTTTGTAGGCTGTGTGCTTGGTGTTGTAGCTCCTTACCTCTGCCACTGTATCACACGAGCAGCCGTAGGCAGTTCATAAGCAAGTGATCATGGCTGTGTTCCAATAAAACTTTATTTACAAATGCAAGTGGTGGGCCAGGTTTGGCCTGTGAGCTGCAGTTTGCTGACCTCAAGGGAGTAGGAAGTCGAAGCTTCTTGTGGCAGAATCAGGCCTCTGAATGAGGGACCCAGACCCTGTCTTGTATTATCTTTGCCGCATGCATTTAACACTGTGCCTTGGGGCCCAGGTGAGCCTCATTTTTCCCACCTATAAAATGGGAGAAATGATGACATTGATAATAGCTTACCATGTGTGCATCCCCTGCATCATCTCAGTTTGTTCTCGCAAGCTTGTGAGGCAGGCTCTACTGTGATTCCTATTTTACACATGAGGAAACTGAGACTGAGAGAGGAGAGGCCAAATGGTTAACCAGAGGCAGAGCCAGGACTTGGACCTAGGTTGTCTGACCCTTGAAAGCTAACTTTAGTTGTGAGAATCCAGTTAGATGAAATAATAAATGTAAAAAGGGTTTTTTACCTGCAAAACCCCATACAGGCCGTGTTTATTACTGTAATGACCCAAGGAGCCCGCTCCTCTGTTTGGAGCACTGTCCCTTCTGTCCTCCTCCATGGCTGATGGGAGAGGAGATACTGAGGATCTGACACTGATGGTCTGGAACCCGCCCCCCCAGCCCCACCAGCACCACCCTGAAGGTGCAGGGAGGCTGAGTGGGATCACATCAGGATGGATCTCCTGAGGTGACGGGGAGGCTGAGCCTTGGGAGTGCTCTCTCCTGCAGCGTCGCTGGTGTACCGCCTGCCCCAGTCCTGGGTGGGGCCCAAGCTGCCCTGGAAGGTCCTCCACGCAGCCCTGCACCTGATGGCCTTCATCCTCTCCGTGCTGGGGCTGGTAGCGGTCTTTACTTTTCACAACCATTCTCGCATCAGCAACCTCTACTCCCTGCACAGCTGGGTGGGGATCATCACCGTCTTCCTCTTCGCCTGCCAGGTGGGTTCTCTCCACCCTCCTCCTCTGGGTTCCCACGGCTGGGCCTTCACTCGCATCAGCACCAAGTATTCGCTCTCCTCGTTGCCTAGAGAGCGTCATGCGGGGCACGTCCTGGAGCACTGGCAGAGCATCGCCTGTTCCTGCTCTTGTGCCTCCACCGCCCACCTGGCATCCCGGGGCCACCGTGCTGGCTCTGATAGCCGTCTTTCCCACCTTCCCCACGCCCACCTTTCTGTGAACTGCAGCAACTCTAGAAGTGGTTCTGTGCCCTGATGCCAGCCTTCCACACAGGAGGGGTTTTGTGAGCAAGATCTGGAAGGAGGTGGAGAGAAATGAGTGCTGGGGTTTGCTGGAGCTCAGCATCCCATGTAACCTTCTCATCGTTGCCCTGACGTTTGTGTAATAGAAATAGATGGAGCACAGTGAGGACAGTGAGGAAGCTAGGTGTGACCGTGGGCAATGCCTGCCGGGAGCATTTGGAGTTGTGAAAAAGGGCCCATGTGGAGATGGGTTGGAGGCGCCGTGGGGGATGACTGAGGTGCACTGGTCACACACAGTCTGTCAGGTGCTCCTTCCCTCACGTCCATAGTGGTTCCTGGGCTTTGCCGTCTTCCTCCTGCCCTGGGCGTCCCTGTGGCTGCGCAGCCTCCTTAAACCCATCCACGTCTTCTTCGGAACCTCCATCTTCTCTCTGGCCATCGCGTCTGCCATTTCTGGCATTAATGAGAAGCTTTTCAACAGTTTGTGAGTGGAATGGGGCCCCTGATCTAAGATGGAGGGGAGGAACTAGGGTCTTAAGAAGACACACCCTAGAATCCTAAGGCCCTGCAAGAGAGCAGAGACCCTTTGAGGTTGGCCTGTTCTCGATGTGGAAGGTAATGGTGGAACTGGGTCTGATGCAGTGTCTTCTACGGAAGCGTCTTCTTTTATGCCCAGTCTTCCTTCCATGAAGTGGGTGGTATGTTTGAACTGCCAGCCTTCTGGTTAGCAGTGAAATGCCTTAGGCATTACATCACCAGAGCTCCTCTATTTTAAGTGGAGATTGGTAAATTGGTTAGCAAACACTTATCAAGTATCAGACTGATGGAGCACCTGCTGTTGTAATTGACGGTTACCTTCCCAGCAGCAGACTGCCACACCTTTCTCCTGTGGTGCAGCTGGTAGGTTCAAACCGCCAGCATTTCAGTTAGCAGCCAAGCACCTAACCACTGCACCGTCATGAGGCAGTTCTACTCTGTTCTATAGGGTTGCTATGAGTTGGAATTAATTGACAGCAATGCGTTTTCTTTTTTTAGTAAAAAATGGTTGCATGCTGGGCTACTCACTGCAAGGTTGGTGGTTTGAATCCACCCAGAGGCACCTTGGCAGAAAGGCCTTGCGGTCTGCTTCCAACCAATCACCCGTTGGAAACTCCGTAGGGCGCAGTTTCACTCCACAACTCGCGGCAGCCATGAGGCGGGATCAACTCAATGGCAGGAGCCGTTGGAAACCCCGTGGGGCAGTTCCACTCTACAGCACACGTGGTAGCCGTGAGCTGGGATCAACTCAATGGCAGCTGGTTTAGTTTTGTTTTCCTTTTGGTGCATCACAAACCGCTCACTACCAGCATTGGTAGTGTCATTGCCCTTTATAGATGAGGGAACCGAGACACAGAGAAGTTAAGTAGCTTACCTAAGGGCACACAGCCAGCAGAGGCAGAGCTGGGATCTGAGTTAGGCAGCCTGACTGCAGTGCCTGCATGCCTTACCGGTGACTCCTGTCCTCCATATTCTTAAGGCAGCAGGGGCAAGGGCGAGCAAAGAAGATTTATGGTCAAGCCTGGGTTTAGACCTTGGTTGCTGATTACTAGTTATGTGACTTTGACCAAGTAATTTCACCGCCTTGGGCCTCAGCATTCTCATAGGAAGAGAGCGTTGTATAGATACTTGTTTTTGTGGTGGGGACTTAGTGTGTTATAGGTAACAATAGTGCCAAGTCAGAGACGGTCCTGGGAAGGCCCTCTCACCCTCTCCTAGTGGCAGCAAGTCTCCTGCTACGTGAAACAGGTACAGTCTTTAGAGGCCCCATGTTTTGTCATCTGCAGAAGGAACACCACCAGGCCTTACTCCAGCCTGCCCGAGGAGGCGGTCTTTGCCAACAGCACTGGGCTGCTGCTGGTAGCCTTTGGGCTGCTGGTGCTCTATATTCTGGCTTCATCTTGGAAGCGCCCGGAGCCTGGGATCCTGAATGACAGACAGGTATGGGTTCGGGGCCAGCCATCCAAGGAAAGCTTGGGCCTTGCCAAGAAGACCAGCCTAGTACTTTGTGGTCCCAAGGTGGCACTGGCCAATAACGGACCACCCATATCAAACCAGCATGTCCCAGTGACTGTGGCAACCAGGAGCCTGTGGCCTGTCCATCAGGGGCAGACAGGGAACTTCATTGAGGTGCAGTGTGGCCTCATCGTCCCCAGGGGTGGGCTTGATTGTGATGGGAATGCACAGTGATTTCTGATTCCCCAGCCTGGGGGCCGGTCTGCTGGGACAGAGGCTTGGTGACGAGTGCTTGTCTTGCCTGTTCTTGGCCATGGAGCCCTCTGATGGGATGTGGTGAAGTGACCAGGCTGAGGGACTTTGGGGCTTCCCTGAAAGATGTGGTGGCTTGCAGCTCCGCCCTGGTGTGACTGCTGCAGGTCAGGGGCCGTCGTGACAGCACGTCATTAACCCCTGTGCCTCTGCCTGTCTTTCTAGCCCCTGCTGCATGGTGGACAGTGAAGCGGCCGGGGCCCCAGAGCAGTCAGTGCTGCAGTCTGCCCTCCCCTCAGCAGCTCGCTCTCTGGGCTCCCGGCTGGTGTCGGCAAGACTTCCTCTGGCTTCTGTCTCTCTAGCCACTGGCAGCCCATCTGCTTTGCTTGGTGGCTTTGGCTTCTGCACCTTCTCGGCATCAGCATCTCCGGCCCCTCCTTACACAGGGCCTCCCTGCACTGGCCGCCTCAGGCTGCTCCTGCTTTCTCTGAAGAAGGCAGGTTGCCCTCACCTGAGAATCCCTAGGGATGTGGCGGGAAGACACCGACAGTCACATGAGCTGGGACCCCAATGCAATCTGTCATGTGAAAATGAGGGTGACAGCAGGGCCTTCGGCATTCCCCTCATGGGCACCCCACATGGCACATGCTTCACCCGCCCTAGTAGCACTACTCGGGCCCATCTGACGTAGGCTTGGGAGAGGATGGCAGGAGGTGGCTGAAGGAGAGGGGGAGGGCGGGTGGCTGAAGCCACCTCCGTAGAGGGGAAGCTCTCAGCTGTTGTGTTCCCCGTCGCCCCATTTTGTCACTGTTGTGTTCTTTGTCACTGTGTTTTGTCACTGTTGTGTTCCCTATTGCTGTGTTTTGTCTGTGATGTGACCATGTGGCTCCCTCCACCTCTTTTAGCTGCTACTCCAGCTGGAGCCTGGACCTCAGCCTCCCTCTGTGGCTTATATGCCTGTCACTGTCAGGCAGCCCTACGAACCCTGGTAATCTGCAATTCCAGAAGTCTGTCCCTGTAGGGATGGATGGCGGAGTGGGCTGCGGACTTCCTCCGCTTCTCCCTGCTGGATCAGGCCCCCCCCCCCAGGCAGGCCCCCTTGCTGCCCTTGGCCAGCCCTGCCAGTGGCCACTCTGGCTGACAGTGAAACTGTGAGGCCAGGTGGTGGTGGTGTGCCCAGCAGATGCCTTGCCACCTTCGGGGATGTCCTTGCTGAGTAGCAAGGCGCCTCCCCTGCCCCCACAACGGCTGCTTGTCTGGCTGCGCCCAGTCTTAGCTGTAGTCTTTCCCAAGGAGGGCAGGTGGGGAGGTGGGAGTCTTGACTCTCTGCTGTGTGTAGCTGCTTTTCCTGCCATCTCCAAAGAGCCCTGTCTGGGCCCAGGGCCCACACTGCTGCGCTTGGAAGACAGGTGGCCTGACGCCTGGGGTCCTGAGCCTGCAAACGACCTGGCGAGTGGATGCTGACAGAAGGGCTGTGGCTGCACCTCCTGGTTAGGATGAAGCCTTCAAAGCCATGGCATGGCTGCTGGAGACTGTGTGACATGGCCAGCTCATCCCCTCTCCAGATGTAGACACTTGGCTTGTTTATGAAGGAGCTGCATTTTCATTAAACATGTTTTTTAAAGACTCTCAGCCCCCTTTGCTGAAATGACTTTAGCTATAGGCCTGGGGCAACTTGTAAAAGTCTCGGGACAGGTATGACCCTCAGACTCAGGGAGGGAAAATCAGGAGGCACTAAGAGCCACATGACCAACCATCCACCTGGATAGACTCATACACGTGGATGGTCCTTAATAGTTGATGCCTTCTAACCACCTGGCAGGTTCTAGTATCCTTCCTATCTGTAGACCTGGAAAACGACTCAAAAAAGGGTGATTTGCCTGAGGTCACCCCACCAAGAAAAGGCAGAGTTGAGATCCACCAGCTGATGTCACCTGCCGCCATCTCTGGCCCAGCTGCTGAGGTGTGTGGCTGTGCGTGCTGACCCTGCAGGTGGCTGGGGACCTTGGTGCCACTGACGGACAGGGAGTCCTGGGCAGAGAAGCCCAGAGGCCAAGGGAGCTGCAGCCAGGTTGGGGCAAAGTAGGTGACGGTGGGCCCCTTCCCCGGGGTGCCCTGACTATAGCTGCCACCTGAGGGTGGAGCAGGTGGTAGGAATACAGCAAGACCTGTGTAAGGCAGCAACTCGTCAGAGATGAGTCTGGGCACTCAACTGAGGTCAGATTCTTAAAAGAGTGACAGTAAGCACCCTATCAGAGTGGAAAACTTGCAAGACCTGAAGTACAAGGCAGTCCCTTTGAGCTCTAGCTCTCACAGGTTTCAGTGCGGTGACTGCCAGAGCTCGGGTCCTTGAGCTGTGCTGGGCTTTGCTGTCATCAGTGCATGCGGGTCCTCTCTACACCCCAAGACGGGCACATCCTGACTGTACAGCATCTAGAAGCTAAGTCCTCAGCCTCAGTTCAAGGAGCTGGTGTGAAGCAGAGCCAGGGATCAGTCATGTCCGAGTCCGCCCAGGCATTAGCCACTTCCCAGGTGTGCCAGATATGCACTTGACCGTCTGCATTGCGCACCAGCGTCAACAGCCCCTCCTCACCAGGCACCCCCAGTGTCGCTCCAGAAAGAGACCCAGGGGCTGGCTCAGGTGCGGTTTCTGATTGCCTTCCCTTCTGGTGCCCCATCTGCCTGTTTCACGCCCAAAGCAGCACTGGCTTCTGCCAGCTCAGTGCCGAGAAAAGCCTGCGCGCCAGCCTTCCATGCGTTAGGTGTGGGGTGCGTACTGGGAGGACAGGAATGAGGATCCTGGCAGAGCCAACCCAGCTGAGTAGACCCAGCTTTGGGGTCTTAGCCGGTGATGGCCTGCCCAGTAAGAGACTGTCATGATCAATTCAACCTCCGCCCTCACACGCCTGGAAGGAGGCGGCTGGAGAGGAAGCTGTCGGAGAGGAAGCTGTGGCTGTGTTGTTTCAATGCTGTTTATTTCCTTGCTTTTCCACTGCCCCAGGCTCAGGTGCAGAGAGGGCCTTTCAAGGGGAGAGTCTTACAGCCGGATTAGCAGTGGCGGTTACAGGCTGAAATGCCAGCCCAGGGAACGGGCCTTATCACTGAAGCCCAGAACTGGCTGGGCTGGTGCCAGGGACCCCACCCTGCCAGAGAGCAGAGGGGAGGGCAGTGCCGATGAACCCTCGTCTCCACAGTGGAGTTGTCCTGGAGGCCCTGGTGGGGGATTTCCTGCTGCACTCGGTGTGGGGAGAGTGGTGGCTGGAGGCAGAGGAAGTGACAACAGGCACCTTAGCCCAGCAGTGAGGAACCGAGGCCGGGGGCAGTCACACGCCCTGGCTCTGCAAGACCTCCAGGATGGCACGGAGGACGGCGGCAGCTGCCACGGCCCCGGGGTCTGGCTGGTCCAGCCGCGCGGAGCTGATGTAGCTGGCTCTGCCGGCTCCGGCTTCCATATTCTTGGTGGCCTCAGCTGCAGCTTCAGCACTCTGAGGGGTGTGGGTGGGGGCAGATTTGAGGACGGCCAGGACGGGGCCACCAGGCCTCATTCATGCCCTGGCCAGGGTTCCTCTGCTGTGCGATCACACCCATGGCCCTCTCGTCCTAGCTCTGCCAGCACCCGTCACGGTGCCACCAGGGCGGACCAGTCGCCTCCCATGCTGCCACCATTCACTAGGTACCGGACACTGGGCTTGGGTTCTATGAACGAGGTACTGTCAGCACCTCCACTTCCCACAGGAAGAAACTGAGGTCTAGGTGGGTCCCTGTGCTCAGTGTCACACGGAGAAGGGAGCCTGGTGGCCCCAAGCCTGTCTCTGGGCAGCTGGGCCCAGCCTCACTCACCTTGACAGCTTTGGTCAGGATCTGGAACAGGTCAGCCCCTGGGCTCTTCCAGGCTTGGAGCTCCTGTCCTGCTGCCCACAGAGCATCCAGCTACACAAGGTGAGGGAGGGGCTGAGGACTGGCCTTGCCACCAAGGGTGGCCAATAGAGCTTCCAGGCTCAAAAGAGGGTGAGGCTGGGGCTATAGCCTGCATACGTACCATGGTCCTGTCCCCCGGGGCAGCCTTTCCATACCTAGCAGAGGAAGAATGGAATAAGCCTTCCTGTAGCCTCCCTGTAGGGAATCCCTTTAGGGGTGAGGACAGGGCCCGGCTCCCCAGCCCGCTGTTGTAAGGTACAGGGCTCTAAGGCTCACTTCTGCATGGCCTCCAGGCCGGCATCCATGGCAGCAGACCAGGTGGGGAGGTCAGTGTTGGCCCTGAGGGGCTGGGCAGCCGCGGTCAAGAATAAGCCATAGAGCTGCAGAGGGCAGAAGGCTGAGCACCAGGAGCTGATCCGGGCCCAGCCGCACCACACCCCTCCTGCCGTATTGTCCAAATGCAGGACGGACAACCTGGGCAGTACCTGGCCAGGGCCCAGCCACACTGCACCCCTCCCTGTCAGCCTCTGGCCCACCTGGGGCTGTTGACACTCACTGCCCCCGAGGAGCCTCCCATCTTCTCCAATAGCAGGATGGACAGCCTGGAGAGGACCTGGGCAGGGCTGGCAGGAGGCGGGCCTGCTTTCAACCATTCCCGGATGGCTGCAGGCAAGAAAGATGGTGAGAGGTTCAGAGAAACCCAACCCTCTCTGGACCCCAACCAAGTATCCAACCCTCTCTGCCAGTTAGCAGTAATGGGGGAAGGGAGAGGCTGACGAACTAGAGGGACCACACTGCCCAGGCTCCTGCTCTCTGTGCCCCGTGTGCAGGCTGCTGAGTGGGAAATGACAACTGAGACCTCAGCAGTCACCCAGCAGGTGAGGCCTGGGCACTGTCAGCCCTCAACCTGACATTCACATCCTGTGTCCCGCCTCATGTTTTTCCTTAGCCCTGTGCGTCAATATCCTGTGTGTTTCCCTGATGCATCCTGTTTACTGTTTGTCTCCTCATCAGAATGCAAGGCACAAGGGCAGTGGTTTTAGTCTACTGTGTTGATCAGAGTTAGTTGAGAATGGTGCTTAGTCCGTGGTAAGCGCTACATACATTTTTCTTGGATGAATGGGGTTGGACAATGAAGCTGTTGGTCTGGGTGGAGTGAGAACTGTCAGGTCAAGAGCATTTCCTTAGGATTTAGTCAGTCACTGTAAAGGATTCCCCTCTATGCTGAGGTGATGACCACCCTATGTTTGTACCATCAGAAGGTCCTTATCTTGAGAGTAATGGGTGAAATGGGTGCTAAGCTTTCCTGAATGATGTCACTTGCAAAATAAAAGGTGGCAGCTCTGTGTCAGCCCTCACACTTCCAGAATGTTCTGGATCACGAAACACCAACATCTAAGAGCCCATGTGCCGCACCAGAGGCTCTCATGACCCCAGCGGGGCTGGCACTGACCTCTGGCAGCACGGCTGTGAGTGCTGCCACAGTCCCCGTCCCCGGCGGCCCGGTCCAGGGCATTCAGATGCTCCTCCAGGCCCAGGAGGGTGGTGCACACCCGTTCCAGCACCAGCACCATGCGCTTCGAGGCTCGACCTGGAAAGAGGGCAGAGGGGAAGAGGCCCGCCTGGCCCTTCTCACAGCCAAACTTGACCAGTGTAGGAGGTGTGGGTGCCAGGGGCTAGACCCTGCCAGCCACTTGGGGTCCCTGTGCACCCTACTCTTGCTCAGGCTCTGGGCCACCAAGGAAATGGCTCCTCCCTGAAAGCAGGGTCTGGTACCTCCTGCAGCAGTGGAGTCAGGAGCCTCTTGGGACTCGGCGGGGGCTGCCCGACTCCGCTTCCGCCCAGTCACAGACACCTTGGCCATGCTGGGCCAGGCCGACGCGGTGGTCTCAGCATCTGGGGACCAACAAGACAGTGGGCTCACTCTTGGGCACGGGCCGCCAGCCAGGGGTCATGCAGGGCCTGGACTCCCTGCCTGGCACTGGTGCCCCGACCCTCAGCGGATGGCCTCTCGCTCTGGAGGAAGGGGAGCCACGTCAACAAGCATGTACCGAGTGCCTCCTGTGAACAGGGAAAGGGGCCAGGCAGATCGGAGGGGGATCCTGATACAAAGGCTTCCACAGTCAAGTGAGAGGAGGCTGGAGACTCCAGAAAGGTCTGCTTCATAGGGCCCAAAGCCCCACGTCTGTGGCCAGCCCTGATGGGGACCCTCAGAATCCCTCTGACTCCCCCCAGCCCCCGCAGCCCTGCCTTGGAGGACCCCAGGTTCCAGTCTCACCTATCAGTTTAAGGAGGGGCTCGTCGACCACCAGGAGGGTGAGGGAAACACCAGGCATCTCCAGTGCAGACATGAAGGTGCCCACTAGGGCCCGGGCAATCTTCACCCCACGGCCCTCTGCCGTATCGGAGCACAGAGGTCCATGAGGGAGGGAAGGAAGGCCATCCCCCCACCCCAAGGGAATCAGAGAAGTACAAAAACAAGCACATAGGAGGCTGGGGCCCTGAGGTCAGTGCGGAGAGGCCAGCTTTCCTCAGGGCATCATGTGTCCACAGTCCCTGGATGTGCCCCCTCTTCAGGGAAGATGAGTAATCACAGGTCTCGCTTACTGAGTTCTACCAGGTAACAAGCACCCGCTAAGTATCTTACATGTGCTCGATCTCCTTGAACCCTCACAACGATTCTATTACGCAGGTACCACTATCATCACCCAACTTTACAGACCAGGAAGCCAAGGCCCCAACAAACAGCAACACGCGAACTCAGGCTCATGTGCCTACGAAGCCCGTGCTCCGGGCCGTCTGAGGCACCACCTCAGCTGCTTCGGTCATGTGCAGCGCCATGGGGCTTTGGGCTGAGGGAAGAAGTTCTGGGGGTCAGGCAAGGCTCCTTCCCAGTATGGGGCTCACCCAGAGAGCGGACAGCAGCGTCAGCTATGATGCCCAGTTCCAGGAAGGACAGGCCGCCTAGGTTGTTGACCATCAGCACCACCGAGGAGCCTGTAGGTGGATGGCACACCCCCGGGTGAGACTCTCCAGGTGCGCCCCATGAGAGAAGTGAGAGAGGTAGGAGTCGGGGGGACAGGCCACCCACCTGACCGCACAGGCACGTGGGACGCACTGGAGGCGTCTGTCATGTGGTCGAGCATGAGCTTCACGATGTTGTCGGCTGTCGCCATCTGTCAGAGGGGCGTGAGTGAGCCACGTGGGGGGACCTGGCCTCAGCCCAGCCCAGGGCGGGGTGGCCACCCACCTTTATCCGACGCACACCGGCTTCCCCGTGGATGCCTGCGGATAGACATGTCACTGCTGACCCACCCAGGTCAGGGATGGCTTGTTACCTCCTATCAAGAACTTGCTGAAGTGCTCGGCACTGGGCTAGGCTCTGTGTGTAGGGGGAGGGCGTGGTACAGAACAACGAAAATCGTGACGCTTGTGCCCTGGTGGTGGAGGCAACCAGGAACCAGAGGGGCTCTGGCTAGAATGTCCCGGTGAGGCCAAGGAGGCCTACGCCCATCAGCCTAGATGCCGAGGGAAGGGTAAGGGAAAGCTGTGCAGCAGGGGTAGCCTTTGAACGGCTCTGCAGAGAAGGGCTGCATTTGGACACAGGCAGGAGGACCCAGGAGTGGTGAGGCCAGGCCAGGAGGCGGGCAGTGCATGGAGCCCCGTGTTGGGAGCCCTAGGTGTGGACGGCAAAGTGGGTAGAAAGCAGGGAGGTTGGGCTAGAAGGGCCTCAGGGCCCACTTAAAAACATTAAAACCACCTAAGAGATAGCTGGGAGCTCTGGTGGCATAGTGCGTAAGGCATGTGACTGCTAACCAGAAGGCTGGCGGTTCAAACCCACCAGCCACTCCTCGGAAGGAAGGTTGGGCAATCTATTTCCGTAGTGACACTGTCTCAGAAACCCAAGGAGGGGTTGCTATGAGTTGGGTCTGACTTGATGGCACATAACAACAGCAACGACAAGAGACAGTTATAAGGAGCCCTGGTGGCATGGTGGTTAAAGCACTTAAATGCTAACCGAAAGGCCTGAGGATTGAACCCACCAGCCAATCTGTGGGAGAAAGATGAGGCAGCCTGCTTCCATAAAGATTTACAGACTTGGACATGCTATGGAGCAGTTCTACTCTATCTACAGGGTCACTGTGAGTCAGAACTGACTCGATGGCCATGGGTTTAGTTTTTGTTTAGGGGACAGCTCCAGGTGAGCGTTAAGCAGAGAGGAGCAGGTAAAATGGTCCCAGTGTACAAGAAAGGGACAAAACCCAAGACCAAGGAGCAGGCATGGCTGGGTAGGGATGGCCACAAGCTTACCCAGGCCCAGCTCTACCTCGTCAGTGGCGAGCTCAAAGGTGGGTTTGGAGCCAGGGACACTGCAGGAGGACAGGCTCACCCCCAGGGTACCTGTGAGAAACGAAGCACGAGAGGGGTTACGCTCTGCTCTTGGCACTGGGCACCAGGCAGGGCAGCAGCCATCCCTGCCCACAAGCAGCCTCGTCACTGGGCAGGGCTGCCAGCCTCTTTCATCTTAATGATGAAATAAACCCAGCTCTGGTACCCAAGGCCACTGGTCCCTGGGAGCTCCCCTCTGGAGACCCTCCTTCTGCCCCTAGGGAATATCTCATAAAGCCACTATCATGCAGCTGACAGCATCTGTTTCTAGGCCCAAGGTCTGCTTCAACCTTGCTCGTGCCTCCCCCAAGCCCCTGGCTGCACTCACCCATGGCCTTGGTGACCGCGTTCACACGCTCGGTGATCTCCTCTAACCCCATACCAGCTTCAGCCAGGGCCCCTGCCACCTGCACCCCACAGAAACAGGAGTCACAATGTGACTTGGGACTTAGAAGCCAGGCTGGGGAGGTATTTCTTGTTGGGCGGGGGGAATCCTAGTGCTCCTATACCTGACCTGGCCAGTCACATTTAGGGTACTTCAAGTGCACCCCCTTTATTCACAACACACGTGCCAGGCTTCTTCAGGAACCCCAGTCTCTTGGAAGCATAGGGGGCCTTTGCAAATGGAGAAATGGGCCCAGGGAGGGGAGATGACTTGTCCAATGTCACACAGCCAGATGGCAGTTAGTTTCCCAATTCTAGAGTTCTTTTCCCCCATGGCGCACACACTATGGCTCACTTTATCCACCCACCCACTCATCCCTCTACTCATTCATCCATCCACCCACCCACTCACTCATCCATCCATCCATCCACCCACTCACCTACCCAACCATCCACCCATTCAACCACCCATCTACCCACCCATCCATTCATCCATCTACCCATCCACCCACCCACCTATCCATCTACCCATCCACCCACCCACCGACCCATTCATCCATCTATCCATCCATCCACTTACCTACCCACCCAACTACCCAGCCAGGCAGCCATCATTCACCAAGCATCTATTATGTGCTGAGTGACAGGAAAAAAGATGACTAAGTCACAGGTCCTGCCTCCAAGGAGCTCACAGTCTGGGGAGCAGGTGGGAAAGTGGACTCACAGACAGAAAATTCCCTGCAAGGTGGTAACTGTGGTTATAGAGTTCACGTGGGATGTTACAGTAGCACTGAGGGGCTCCTAACCAGTTTAGGGTCAGGTAGGGAGATCAGGGAAAACCTCCCAGACAAGAGACACCAGAGATGGGCCTCTAAAAATAGTAGGAGCTAGGCAGACCAAAAGCGGAGAGGACGTTTTAGGCCAGAGACATAGCCTAAGCAAAATAAAGGTAAGTCCCAACCTGGTAGCTACTGGGACCTGGTACTTACAGAGCTCTTGTAAGAACCAGGAGTGGGGACTGGGCGATGAACTTGGAAAGTCAGAGAGGTAAGTCAAGAGTGTGCCAAGTGCCTGACCAAGGAGCTTGTGTTGACTCTAGGCTTTGAACCTGGTCAGATATGTTTCTAAGAGACACCTCACATGGCAGTGCAGGGAGCAGACCAGGGAGGAGGCGGGAAGCAGGCAGGGGGCCCATCGAGGAGGCCACTGTGGCCTTCTGGGCATGAGCAGATCAGCCCTGAAGTGAAGCTGGATCAGGGAGGACAGGCGTCAGAGGAGGGCACGCAGTACCCAGGTGTTTGGAAGGCTACTGACTGAGTGCGGGGGAAGGAAAGGGAAGGGCTGGGCAGTGGCTTCTCAGGTGTGTGGGGGGTGGGGGCATGGAAAGGTCCTGCCACCAAGTGCTGCCCAGAGAGAGAAGGCTGAGTGAAGGGCAGGGCTGTGTGTATGGGGGCGATCTCACCTTGTGTATAATCACAGTACCACAGAGCCCCCGTCTGCCTGCCTTCTTCAGGACGGTGAAGGCACTGTCATCCCCGACGACCACCATCTCCACTGGGATACCCTCGGCCCGGGCCTGCTCTCGGGCCAGACCAAAGTTGAGCCGGTCCCCTGTGTAGTTCTTCACGATGAGGAGGGTTCCCGCTGCAGGAACAGTGGGCAGGGCCCCGTTGGTGCTTGGCCTCATCCACCCTGCAGCTTGCCCTCCCTTTGCCCAGCCCCGTTCCTCCACATGTGGTCTTACCTGTGCCTGCCTGGGCCACCGCCCTGATGGCTGCCAGGATGCTGCCCACGGCTGGGGAGGTGAACACGGCTCCCGCAATGACCCCGGTCAGCATCCCCTTTCCTATAAAACCTGGAGACCAGGGTGGTGGGGCAGGGGAGAGAGGACAATGGGTGAGGACCTGTGTCTGTAGTCACTGGGGCGTCCTTCTCTCTAGGGCCTCATGGTTTGCTGAGCCCCTATTGTGCCCTTGACACCAGAAGAGCCCCACTGGAAGAGTTCCCAGAGCATCGTTACATGGCTGACTCTGTTTCAGGAGACAACGTGGTGAGGCCTTCCCTGACCTCCTAGCCTAAAGCAGGGACCCCATCCCATCCCCAGGGACCCTGTGCCATGGACTGAATACATGTCACCTTGGCTGGGCCTTGATTCTTAGTGATTTGGCCTTTATGTAATGATGCAGTCATCCTCTGTCAGGTGATTGATGTCATCAGCTAATCAGTTGTAAAGGGATAAGGGCAGGAGGGGACACCCTCACTCAGGTCATAGCCCTGATTCTCATGTAAGGGGAGTTTCTCTGGGGTAAGGCCTGCATCACTATTTATCTTATGAGAGATGAAGAGAGACAGAAGTGAGCAGAAAAGGAGGGATCTCAGTACCACCAAGAAGAGCTGGGTGTGATCGCATCCTTTGGAGCCAGGGTCCCTGTGCTTAGAACTTCCTAGACCCAGAGGAAGACTGATGCTAAGACACATGGAGATCTCCAAGGGCCTCTGGGCCCACAGATGTCAACAGAGGGCAAGGACCTGCCCCCAAAAAGCACCTTCCCCTGGAGCTACTACTTACCCACCCAATGCCATCGAGTTGATTCCAACTCATAGTGGCCCCACTGGGTTTCCGAGGTGATAAATCTTTATGGAAATAGATTACCCCATCTTTCTTTCAGACTTCAAGTCTCCTAAACTGTGAGAAACTAAATTTGTTTGCTAAAACCACCCACCTGTGTGTGGCATGTTATCGCAGCACCAGATAATAAAGGCACCGTTTGTCTTCAACATGTGCTTGTCAGGCTCCCAAACCATCTCCTTTCTTTATGGGTTTACCCAGCTATTGTCTGTCTCCCTCCAAAGTAGAATGAAAGCTCCGTGAGCACAGAGGCCTGGCCTGTGATTCCTTATGGTATCCCTCGTGCCCAAAGCAGCGCCCGGTACACGGAGCAGTGAGTAGATGAATGGACTCAAGGCAGGGAAGACAGGAAAGGTACCAAGGACACAAAGCCTGGTCCCTGTCCTCTAGGAGCTCCCAAGTGAGCTGGGAGGGATGGCATCCTTGGCAAATGGAACATCCAGCACAGTCCCTCAGTGTGGGTGAAACTGCAGGGTGGGTGCTTAGGAGAGGGATACTGCTCTAGGCCAGAAGTCAGGAAGGCTTCACAGAGGAGGGGGTGGGTCAGCCAGGCCCAGAAGGCCAGGAAGATGCATGGAATCATGAAATCTCAGCATTGGAAGGGCCTGAGAGGTCGTCTGGCTAAACTGAGGCTCAGAGAGACCAAGACCGGCCCCAGATCACAGCATGAGGGGCTGGGAGAGGGGAACCAGAAGCTAGTTCCTGACGCTGGGTGAGGATCTGTCCCAAACTTCAGGCCACA